TCGTCTTCGCGGGTCCGCGCCGGTTTGGACTCGGAGTCAGCGTCCAGCACCACCAGCTCATCCTGCGCTGGCGGCGGCGGCGGCAGCGGCTCGGCACCGGTCGCCGGTGAAGAGGGACGCGCCGGCGCTGCGGTTCCGGCCGACACCGGCGATCCGGCGGCGGCGGACTCCGGCGGGCCGGCGCTGGCGGTCGGCACTGATGACGGTCCACAGGCGGCGGGCGGCGGCGACGGACCCGACCTGGGCGCCTCAGACTCCTCGAAGTCGGAGAGGGTGCACAGGGAAGGCTTCCTGCACTTCCACTCGGGAGGCCGGGTGACGTCATCCGCGACATATTCGTTCAGTGAAAGGAACTTGGGAATGCCGACATTGGCGCGGATTTTCTTCGATTCCTCCCCAAGGAAGACGTACCGGTTGAGCTGTAGTATCAGCGTCCTGGGCAGCTGGCTGATTTTGGTGGTGACGCGGCACTCATCATGCTGGCAGTGCTGACAGAGCCGCTCGCGCCGGTCAGGCCGCATGCACATTCGCAGTGCGTCCTGCAGCGTGGGCGTCTCCGTGCCCTGGCGGCGCGGCACTCTGACAAACCAGCATATGTTTTCTTGCCGCTTCAGCGCCGTTTCATGACACTTGGTGCACATGTAGCTCTCGACGATCTGGTACTGAAAGTTGTCTCGCACCGGGTTGTCGGTCGGTCGCCGCGCGTCGATCTCTTCCTTCATAGTGTCTAGCAGGCGCAGCAAGAACTCATTGGCGTCCTGCATCTCGGTACCTCTGAACGCCGGGTCGATGTCGGCGAACACGTCGCGCAGATCGTTGAGATGGCTGGAGACTGATTTGCTGAGTGCCTTCTGGCGCAGCACCATCAGTTTGGCGACGGCACGCAGCGTGCGGCACTGGCCGCTCTTGTCCAGGCCCGAGATCAGGGAAATCATCTCACTGAGGAACGGTCGCAGGCCCAGCAGCGACTGCAGGGTGGCGTTCTGATAGCAGGAGTTCCCGTAGTTGGGTAGGCCGATATACAAAGGGTCCTTGCCATCATTGTCGGAGTCGAGCGGCCGGATGGCCGGGACTAGCTGCAGGCCGCGGCTGGCCGCCTGCGCCTTGCCACAGTGCAGCTGCGGGTTCTTGTCGCCCTCGCCGGACTTGCGCAGCGACGGCGGCGGCCGCATCTGTGGACTGGCGGCGGACAGCGAGCCGCCGGCTTCGGCCGAGTCACCGTAGAACCGGCGCGGGCCGACGCCAGCCACCTGCAGCAGCTTCGTGTTCTCCCTGTCAGCGCGGTCCGGGCAGCTGGGCGCCCGCTCCTTCGAGCGCGACAGTCGCGAACCCTTGGCCTCGGACGGGTGCATGGTCCCCAATGTAGATCCACCTTGGCTCGACTTTGAGAGGGAATGACTTGAGTCGACGTCAGATGCCTGCCTTCCAGCGTTTTCATCGCTATCTGGTTCTTGGCTGCATGGTGACGACTCAGCAGTGCAGGAAGGCTGCGCATGGACTCGTCGAAGCGTTGACGTGTCGTCAGCTGCTGCCAGTCGCACAGCAGCCGCGTTGCCACGTGCCACTGCCACCGATATGCGCTGCATTAAGTGTTCCATGTCTCGCCGATCGCCGGTTGTCTGAACGATCCGCTGACCGAGTTCTCTTAAGAAGTGAAGACTATCAGTGCCAAAAGCACCAGATGTCTCGACGGCGACTGTTTGGAACAGGTACCGCCGGCTTAAGTCAGCGTAGCGTCGACGTTTGCGTCCTTCGGCAGCAGTGGCTGCGGCACTCGCGCGCGATGCGCATGCGGATACTGAGGAGGCACTGAAAGTGTCGACGCACGTTGCATCCCAAATGAGGCATTTCCCCTCTGAGTAAGGGAAGGTTGTGATGCCATCGGGACGGCGTCCGTCGCCGCGATCCAAGCCGGCAGGTTCTAGGACTGCTGGAAGGCCGGCGGCAGCGAGGCCACGTTTGATAATGTTATTGAGCTCTGCGTGGCGGGGTAGTCGACCGGCGCTTAACTGGCAGCTGAGACCGTGCAGACCACGCTCATCAATGTCGGCCCCGCAGCGGCAGCGATGGGGAGCGCAGAGCTCAGCGCCAATCCGCAGAGCGATTGCTGTCCGCAAGGTGTCAGGCTCAATCAGGGTGCCTACACTTGGTGACGGGTAGGCGTTGAGCCAGGCGCCTGAGTGTGGCTGTCCGGCGGCTCGGAGCCTAGCTTGGCACACCTTATCGGTGCTGCTGTCTAGCAGGTGCGTGCTGATAGACTTGGCCTCTGAGCGGTCCCATTCGCGTTGAAGGTGCCGCTTTTCGTCGTCTGGCGGTGTTAGACCGGTGCGGTTTTGCCACTCACTGATCAGACGCCGTGTGGTCTCGTTGAAGTCAGCTGAGGTAGTTTCATTGATGGCTGCCACCATGGCCGCAGATGCGACATGCGATGCCAGGTGAGCGGGGAGGGCTAGATCGGAGGTCATCCTCACACCAAGCCCGCCAAGACTGACAGGCAGTGTGGCCTGTCGCCAGGCGTCGTCGCGCATCTGAACGTTGGTGATCGCCTCTAGACCCTTCCTCACGACCTCGTCGATCCCAGAAAGCAAGTCAATGTGTCTGTGGGCTGGGGAACTTCTCAAAAGGTAGAGTAGGCGAGGCATAGAGACATAGTTCTTAAGCAAGAAGAAGGATTGGTGGGGCTCTTCCATGCTTCTGAGACGCCGTACTAGTTTCTCAATCTCCTGCTTGCCGAGTAGGAGTCTGTGTCGTGTTTGAGAGTCATTCATTGGTGCGCCGAGCAGTTCCAGGTCATCCAGGCAGACTTCATGAGCGTCAGGGAGGATGCCGTGCAAATCCTCCAAGATGTTCTGTTTTTGCTGGGCCCCTTGCTTTCCCAGGAAGGTGCATTCGCATTTCGCACCGTTGAAGCGCAGGCCAGCCTTCTCAAAGTTCTCTTTGACGCGCTCAATGCTGGTGAGCACTTTTGGCAGCGGACCAGCCAGAGTGCCGTCGTCCAAGTACCAGACGTTGATGTCTGCATCTGCTGCTTTGGTGGCGGTGTCTATGGCCAGCGAGAACAGCAAAGAGCTGAGAGGGTCTCCTTGCTGGATGCCGGTTTTAGACAGCACTTGGCTCTCTCCGATGAACAGGGGAGCAGATTGGCTGTACCCTTGCCATACGAGAGAGTAGATGTCAGGTGCTCTTGCTCTCACTGCCTCCAGCATGCTGTCTCTGCGCACTGAGTTAAAGGCATTTGAGACATCCAGCTTCACGAGTATCCTGTCTTCGCTGGGTTCCGACTGCTGGATGTATGTTCGAACAGCATGGACTGCCGCCTCACATCCATTTCTTGTGGCCACGCCCAGTTGCACGGGCCTCAGTTCGGCCCCGATTCGTCCGGAGACTGAGTGCGCAGCTACTTTTGCAGTGATGCGGCGGTACACGCTTCCGACGGCAATGGGTCTAAGGCCGCCGTCCTTCTTACGCAGAGCGATCAGAGAGGCGCCGAAGAATGCTGGCAAGACAAACTCAGGAAGGCGGCCACATAATGCCAGATTGACGAGAGCCGTCAAAGCTGTGAGAAGGCGTGCTCCGGCTTCGGCAGTTGTTCTGGAGATCAGAGATCGCAGGTGAGCGGGTCGGACTCCGTCTAGTCCAGCGCTCGAGCTCGGTGGAAATGAGTTGATGGCTTTCAGGACGTCTGCTTCAGTAGCTGTTAGCGATGCTGTGCCCTCGTCGGGCGGTGAGACAGGGCGGATATCTTCGGGTGGTTCCGGGTGTTTCTCTTGCATCTTGCTAATGACATCATCTGTTGGGACCGCAAAAGAATCGTCCGAGGCCAGGAGGCGCAGAGCACCGCGGAGGTCGCCGTCTGTTATCTTCTCTGAGACGCGGCGCAATAGTGCCATGGTGCTAGGTGGGCGATTTCTTTTGTTCTGAGCTGTCCTTTTACTTGCATGGCGAGGTGGGTTGAAATCATCTTGAGACAAGTTATTACGAACTTGAGTGGCTAATGATAGCCTCTTCTTGCTGCCCTTGTTGTCACGGATGGTAAGCGCCAAGTAACCAAAACGCATTAGCTTACGCCATGCGAGGTCGGTACCCTGGGTTACGGCATCGTTGATGCAATGGGCTAACGCGTCAGCCACAGCGATGCGTGCCCCTTTGGGGATGAAGGGTAAGAGTCGGCATCGCTGCTTCAGAGAGGCTATCTCGTTGGCAATGTCACTGGTTGGAGGGTCATTCGCTGCAGAGTTCGAACAGCCGTCTCCGAATCGGCAGGATGTGCAGCGTTTGTTCTGTTTCGCGCATCTGCATGTTTTGCAAGGATTTGTAACGCATTTGCAGCAGCGAGGAGTGTGGCTAACTTGTGTATCTAACGATTCATTTTGAGACGAGGAGCTGTTCATGATGCAGGTTCATCGCTGTCGAATTACCTTCTCGGCCGAGGTAAGGTTCATAAAAGCTCTGTGAATGATGACTAAAGAATCTTCGAGACTGAAGCAAATTAATCTGAGGCGCACGTGACTACGGCAAAAGATCAAACGAGTTTTTTAGTTTTCACTGTGCTGAAACTTTGAAAAATATTCGAAAATGTGTACATTTCTGAGCACTATATCGTAAAAGATTTTAACATTTGAGTCTTTAAAGTATAGGCAAAGAAAAAAGCATTTAAAAACAAACAAAATGACATAAGTTTCGACTGCCGAAGACTTAATGGACACTTATACAAGTCGGAGCAAAAAGACACGTCCGATTATTCCGATACCACTGAACTTGAGCCACTGAACAGTTGACAAACCTTGACAACATGAAGTTGTCAAGGTTTGTCAACTGTAGGAAATTAGGACATTCTATAATACAGGATATCTCAGTTAATATTGTTAGTCTCCTTGAAGAAAAATTGTATCAGTAGGGTCTATACTGTCCCATGAAAAACCTCAGAAACTTATCTACTGTGGCCAATCGTCCTAATGGAATTTTCTACTGATCTGGCCACCGGTTTTTACTACAAAGTGTTAGTCGGTCAGTATGTATTGGGATCATTCAGTAGTGACACCTTGCAGCGATCAGTGTGGACCGTGATGACCGTAGAAAACTGTGAAAACACATACAAAAGACAATTAACTCAATGTAGCTTACGATTCGCCCAAGGTCACTGGGGGGAACAGCCACAACAACACATGAACTGCACATACCCAATAAACTGACAATTTAACAACGAAAATTATTTCTTAATCAGTCCGCAAGAGACAAATTCAGATAGGTAGCCAGCTGGCACTGTGACAAACGAATATGCATTTATGACAGAGCGAATAAGCATTACACGATTTGTGTCAGTGTATGGCTACTCACTTCGTCCGGGACGATAGGCGACTTTAGTACAAATATCAGTGACTCAGTATGGTGATACAGCCAACTGCACCGTCAGTATAGCAGGCAATAATATTTCGGCTTCAGTATCGGTCCAAGTGGCAATCACTGTTCAGCAAACCGTACTTCACTGCGCCCCGATCAGGACAGCTCTGATGCCGTTCAACATGCGTCACATATCATGACAAATCGTCTGGGGCGGTCACCTGAAAATAGCAAATGCAGTCGTTTAGACAAAGCAGCCCTCACTCAGGCTCTTGCATAACAAAACCTAAACAACCCGTAACGGCGGGAACAGTTATCATATGATACCTTCCATTCACTGTTCGTAAAACTGGTGCAGCATCGTGATCTTCGCCCAAATGACTCGCTTCACGAATAGGACCCCCAATTCCCAGTGCTCTGGAGCCGCCCCTGGTAAAGTTATGAACTTGAAATTTTCAGGGAATGTGCCCAATTTAGTTTTAGGAAAAGTCAGAAAATTTCAGCATCGTAGCTTCAGCGGTTTCGGAGATATTCCCGAAAAACCTGAGGGGTGGATAAAAACAACCCCCCCTGCCACTAATAGGGTTAACCGTCGCCCGTCTGTTGGCGTTTCAACAGCCGCTAACGTAAGGGGGAGGAGTCGATCGGACCCCCGCGGCCTCTCGGACTCTGATATGGAGCTGTGCATAAAAAAGACGAGCGTGCTACCCGTGACAATAGGAAGCCGCTGCTGCCCATTTTTAAGGTCCTTGGTCATTCCGTCTCATTCAAGAGAGCAATGACAAGTGTCGAGAAAATCGGGACCCGCTATAACTTCTTGAAGTGAGATTTTATGGCTCAAGATGATCTCCAGAAAATGCTCATAAGTCAACGGTCATTATGGGTCCAGAGGCCAGTTTTATCAACAGAAAAATAGCCGCCTGCCGGAATTTTTGCCTAAAGATCGTTTCGCATATGGAGCGTAAGCGGTAAAGCCCTATCCGCTTACGAGCCCATCGCGTTTACACTCCGTATGTGAAGCGGTCTTGAGGCAAAATTCCGGCAGGCGGTTATTTTTCTGTTGGTATAACTGGTCTCAGGTCATGATATTTTCCAGGCTGGTAAAAAAAAAAAATGATGGGCTCGAGGGTACAATTTGGTCGTGATCCAATGCCTTTTATGTGAGATTTTAACGAAAAACCACCCGCCGGGCGCCGCCCCTATACGTACAAGGGTTAAATGGGATATAGCATAGGCGGCGGAACGGGGAGGGCACCGGGGCGCCGTGCACCCTTTGATTTTTGCATTTTAACATTAGCCCTATGGGCGTTGCATGGAAAGAATGGGACCAAAAGTCGGCAGTGCCCCCCCCCCCCTCCCCCTCAATTGAAGGTGTTCCGCCGCTACTGGGATATAGGTATTAAATGTTTTGTGGAGGAAGTGTCATCTTTTAAATTTGATGCATTGGAAATGCACAAATACCCAAAGAGTTCCAGGACGGTATGGAATTTCAGAAAACTTGGTTGTGTCAGCAATGGGGTCTGGTAGGTGGGGGTAATGGCCCTGCCTGGCGCCCAAAAAGGGGGCACGACCCCGAATAACCTGCCGACCACTGCTTTAAAGAGACCCTCCCACCTTCAAAAAGTTAATGAATTGGCATGAAAGTGATGTCGCTAGGTTCAGAAAGGGCGAAAACGAATATCTACCAAATTTTATCGAAAAATATTCACCGGTTTTCAAGAGATTAGACTTTTATTTTTGTTTACTTTTTGGGATATCCGCTGCTGTTCCTAGCGACTTTATTTGAAAGTGCGGCATTTGTTGCGCGCAAAGCAGCCTATACCACCGCATGCTACCAAACGTTTTAGTAAAATATTAAAAAATCATTAGATCTCCTCTGACGTCACACATTCAGAGGGGTATCCAAAAGCATTAGCCCCTCTGAATCAAAATGCTGCAATTTTGAAATTCAATATTTCCGATTTAAGGCATTTCTCGATGTTGTGAGTGCGTGCCGAAACCGGTAATTGTGAGCCAGGGACCCCATTTTGGCTATCTCAGCTCAAATCTAATGTTAAGGTGGGAGGGTCCCTTTAACTGGTCGATAAAAACAATGGTAAGTGTTTACAAAGTAATATAAAGGCATGGGTCGGGTGGGCTACCATTTATATATTTTTCTTTTTAGTTAAAAAAAAATCATAGTGTCAGGGCTGTGACGAAAAATAAGTGGCCTAAATCCGATGAGAAAACAGGATTTGGGGGTACCCTAGGTTTGGCTCCTGCATGAGTTGGCCCCCCCCCCCCAAAACGCAAGCCTGGATCCGCCAGTGGACAATAGTACCCGTAAGAAGTCACAAAGAAGACATGTGCGTGCATACTGAACATACAGAGTTCCTATGGCACTGTCAAGAACCTTACATCGTTACGTAAGGCATCGGAGCGTAGTACTAGTGTCCCCCCCCCCACCCCCCACCCCCCCGGTATCCATTTAGCTCTTGAAGTGCGATATGACACCGCACGGTGACATTGCCGATAGCTCACTGACCACTTCAACCAGCAGACACGGTCTCAGGCCGCTGAAGGCTGTTCACAAGGTTGTTCAGTGCGTGCGTGTTCACTGCTGCTAAAACCAAGGTCGGCAATGATCACGAGGGCTGTTCACCCGCGTAACAAGCCACATGCAGGTTGACTTATTAGCTGGGCTAGTGTGTGTGTGGGGAGGGGGGACAATGTGTGTGTGTGTGGGTGGGGGGTGCATTTAGGGTATTTCTCCCTACAACAGCGTCCGAAATTGATAAAATTTTGTCATTTTTCTCATGGGCGTAGGAATCTCGTGAAAAGTGAGGGGGGCAGCAAACTTCAATGTCACTTTGTGGGAGCCCCAATAGGCAATAGGTACCCCTATGAGGAAATTATTTGCAGTTTTTGTGCTCATCTCACCTTGCTGAGCCCTTTCCTGCCCTTAGCTTTGTATTAACCCGCGCCCCGTAGGGCTACCGGCGGACCCTACCACCCGTAGGGAGGGGGGGCCGTTTCGGCCCCCCCTAAGATCTCGGAAAGTTACCGGCCGATTTTCAAAATTCAAACGGCGTTCGATAGCCCCACCCAGGAACTACCTTGTGACCAAATTTCATTGACCTAGGTCAAACCGATGACGTCACAGGTCAGGTCAAAGGTCAGATTTACACCGTTCACAGGCATTTCAAGAAATGTGTTGTGAAATCGAGTTAATTGGTAATTTATTGAAAACCATCGATGGTACATTGTTCGTCAAACAAATACTTTGCTATCTGAGGTCACTGATACCAGGTCAGGTCACAGCGAGGTCAGGTCACCGGGGTCACAATATGAAAGTGTCGTGTGATACATGTTTTATGGTCCATTTTACAAGACAAATGCGATTATGTGGGTTAGGCAGCCTTTGGGGCCAGCCTAGGTCACGTTTTGGTGAAGGTCAGGTCAAGGTCAGGTCAAATAAGGTCAAATTTCAAAGTTGATATTTTTGCATAAAATGGGTATCGATTCGATGCAGCTCGTCACGGGGATTCTAATGGTGGTCTTTGTTTTGCTCTACGAGGTCTAGAACTGCCAAAAATTGAGTTTGAAAATTTGACGTCATCAATTTTGAACAGTTTTTTCGCTATAACTTGGCCAAAAAACGAGGTATCGATCTGAAATTTGGTATGTAGATAGAAGACGGTAGGTACTATAGTCCGTTTTTCTTAAGTTTGCCCCTCACTGTAAACGTCTCTTTGAACACAGCACGAGAATTGCTAGCTGAATTACTGAGAAAACTGGTTAGCGCACATTGTATTGTAGATATGAATAATATTTTCAAAAATAAGTTTTAAACATCGACGATTTAACGTTATGTTAAGCGCCGTGCAATTTATTTATTAGTTCAGACATAATTCCTGAGAAGTCGTCTATCCCTGTGGGGCTGTAGGTATTGGCAGATACGATTTACGAGTCTGTGAAATAGTAAATAAATTTGATGAAATTGATCGTCTGTGAAATCTGGTTAAATCAGTGTGCGCCAACCAGTTTTCTCAGTAATTCAGCTAGCAATTCTCGTGCTATGTTCAAAAAGACGTTTACAGTGAGGGGCAAACTAAAAAAAACGAACTATATCACATATATTCCGGTTTTTTTGAAACTCAAAAAACTTTTTGGATTTTTTGGCTAATATATTCAAAAAAAAAATTTGATTTTTGGGGTTTAAAACTCAAAAATTTCAAAAATCCGAGATAGCAGTTTTGTAGCCCTGTCAATTCTACACCTTTTATGTATTGATCATTTTTCTGTATCTTCAAAGCTGTAGGCCTGACAGGTCTTCTCGCGAAGGTCTTTTTTCGGTCGAAAATGACAGAACATGACGTCATTCTGACGTCATTTGTGGCCAACCTATCATAGCCTCTGGAAAAATTTTTGGTCACAATGTGTAAAATTGATGCCCGGAGGGGTCCTGAAAGTTTGGTGGCGATATCTGAAGCGGTTTAGGAGATATCGACCGAAAAGGACAGGGGGGGCCGTTTCGGCCGCCCCCCTACGGGGCGCGGGTTAAAATCAAAAATAAATAAATAAAAAATCCTTTTAAAAATGACTGAAAAGTGGGCGGCATGGCCCCCCACACCGACCCCCTGTTCCTACGCATATATGGTTTTTCTCGCACATTTCGTGCTACCCCCCACCCCCCACCCCCTGAATCTCCCAATGCTGCCAGGGAATTCCCCTGCTGGCGAAATAATTGCCGACCACCGATCGACAGTTCTTCACTGAGCTCAGTGTGTTGTAGCTCCTATTGCCGAAATCTGGGTAAAAAGCTGTGACGTTTACACACGAACGCAAAGTGTCTGCGAGTCGGAAGACATTCTGCATTCTACACTATATATAAGTCTTGAGTCTACGTTGCAACCCCAACGTCAACCTCAGCAGTCACATCAACCCAGCCACAAAAACGCAAATATTTGACCGATAGATTTTTATTTACAAAAACAGCCTTGGAAGTGGCGCCCCGCGGAAGGAGCGAGACTCCAAATAAAATCCGAACTCAGCCGCCCGACGGTGTAACAACTCCTCCCGGGACACTCAGACGCTAACTCGGTCAGTAACTCAGTCAGTAGCTCAGTCAGTAATAGTGTCAGTAACTCCGTCAGTAATCCCGTCAGTCACTGCGTCAGTAACTCATTAGGTCAGCGAGTCTGTCACTCTGTCAGTTGTTCGTCAGTCATTCAGTCAGTAGCCGTTAGAAAATCCATCACTAACTCTGTCAGTTCGCCAGTAACTCAGCCACAAACTCAATCAGTAAATTGGACTGGAAGTCCATCGGGAAGATCGTCGAGCATCAGCTTTCTCAATTCCAGTTCCGTTTCAGTCTCGGTTTTCAGTCTGTTTATATCCTTAGCTCGGAATTCAGTCCTAGCCAGCGTTTCCGGCTCAGTCTGGCATATCAGTGCTCAGTCTTCAGTCCCCCGTCACCAGACAGCAAGTCTCATTCCTGCCCCAGTCTCCAGTCTCAGTCAATGGTCAGTCACAGTCTGAACCCACACATTCTCTCACATCGGCCGCATGTAGCTCCAAGCTGTCGCGCGGCTTTCAAATCTGCGATTTCTCGCGCAGAAATCCGCAGATAGATAGTGTCGTTTCTCTTACCGCACGTACCGCAATCAAAGATCATTTCGCGGCTTTCGGCGTTGCGGTACCGCACGCCGACTAACATAGTAAAATATATGATCCCCGCTACCCTTATTCGGCATTTGACCACCAATGAACGACGCTGGACTGCGCCGTTACGCATACATACCAGCACGCACACGCATTCAAACGAACTGACGCGTGGCTCACGCGCACGGATAGGCAGACAGGCTCGGTAGAAGTTCCTTGTTCACCGATTGGCGGGCGCTCCGTCGCGAAAACTCACACACTCGCAGTTTCCACAGCGGGTACGGAAACTATGGAATCCGTGGCGCACGTACGTGTGTGGCGCCACGTGTTGCCCGCACGTGTTTCGCCACGGGTATGGTCACGTTGGTAGACGAAACAGCTGGTTGGCGACTGAAGAGACGTAGCTCTGTGTCCCCGAAGGTTCATCCGGCCAGCAAAACGCCAGGAATATTCAACACCACACTCGATCACTTTTGTCGGATAGATTCATCGTATTGGAATATCGCACACCATTTAGGATTGGGAAAGAAGGACGTCGTAAAAGATCATCGCCCACATTTCAAAGATCACCAGAATGTCTTCGCTTATAAGCTACCAAGGCGAACATGGCAGCAGATTTTAGATTGTTTTCATGTTTTGCCACATTACTTCACGTCCACACGAAACCCCCACCTCTGTTCGGGAGACACCCTGGCTTTCTGCAGTCCATTGCCATTGCTGCCAAAGACGCCAACGGCAGTCAAGTAGCGCCGCCAGTCTTTCGGTCTTCAGTACGCTTCTCTTTTCAGCATGAACCCCAAGACAGAACACCGGCACTCACTCCCAAGGCAACTTTCCGTCGCATTTTCTCGATTGCATCTTCTCACTTCATCACGATACCAGTCTGCTTCTTGCGGTACAGCAGAGGACAGGCTGATGGCTGCCGTAACAGGTGGCGCCACCTATACCGACAGGCAGCGCCACCTATGCCAACAGATAGCGCCACCTATATCGACAGATAGCGCCATCTATATCGACAGGCAGCGCCACCTATATCGACAGGCAGCGCCACCTATAGCGCTCAGTGGGCCCACCTACGTCAGCAGTGCGCGGATCTCCTTGTGAAGGTGGCACAGGTAGTCCACATAGGACGCCGAGCCGTCGGAGCCCTTATCCTCCACCAGGAAGTGTCGGAACACCACCTCCAGCTTGTCCCGCTGGCGTACCACCGTCAGCTGGTGGCAGAACGGCCGGAGGGGAGGATGTTAGGGCGACGCGTATACATATCTAACGAATAGTGTTTGTCTATTTCAAACAACCTGCGGTTACGGTGACGTCCTATGGGTGGAAACGGTAGAGCTGAAAAAAAGTTCTCGAGCCATTCTCACAAAAAGTTCTCGCTAAGGTTATTTCTACATGGCCCCTCGGCCATCACTCTCACAGATTAATTATATGAACTATACTTGAAGAGATCTTTTTTTCCCCGCACAATTCGAACAGTCACGCGAGTCTCAATCAGCTCCAGGATGAACTGACCTCCCTGTGGCTCTAATCTCCGGTGTGAACTGACCTTTATGCGGCTCTAGTCCCCGATGTAAACTGACCTTGATATGACCCTACTCCCGCGGTGTGAACTGACCTTCATGTGGCTCTAACCCCGGGTGTGAACTGACCTTGATATGACCCTACCCCGCGGACGTGTGAACTGCCCTTCATGTGACCCTACTCCCGCGGTGTGAACTGACCTTCATGTGGCTCTAACCCCTCGGTGTGAACTGACCTTCATGTGGCTCTAACCCCTCGGTGTGAACTGACCTTCATGTGGCTCTGCCGCTGTCGTCGCACCTCGTCGATCACTCCCCGTACCCGGATACTCAGAGGCGTATCCAGGTTAGGCAGGCTGGGACGGTCCACATCAATCTAAAACAGAGAAACAGGCACCAGGGTCAGGCATGGGCAGAGGTTGTGAGACATAGCATCGAGCCGTGTTTGACACAAAGGACAGGACCCATTAGAGGATAGTCCATTTACGAAATGAAATCAAGACCATTATCCTCTTCTTTCTCCTACCCTACAAAAATTACCGCATGTAAGTCAGTCAAGTGATTGCTGCGATATAAGCCTCGCAAAAGCGTCCGCACGGCCGGTCGACGACCGGCCGGCCGCTCATTCTCTGAAATTTCCGTTAATCTAAGGAAGACTACGCTCGCTTCGCTCGCTCCGTAAAAACCCTCAATCCTCTCTCATCCCATTCTTCCAACCCTCTCCCACTCTCACCCTCCTATCATTCCCCCTCTCCTCCCCTGCTCACCTGTGCCACTGACTGCACCCCGAACAGATCCTGGACCGCCTCCGGTCCCAGCTGGAGTCCAATCCACAGGAACATATGGACTCCGTTCTCCAACAGGAAGAGCCCCTGATCGTGCAGCTTGTCCTGACTGCTTCGTACGGGCGACGGCAGAACGTCGGCAGGTTCAGACACATCCAGGGTATCCAGGGGAAGGAGGCGCGGGTAGAGGTAAGCCACCGAGCGACGGACGGGTAGCGAGGTACTCAGGAACATGTGGAAGGAGCGCTCGTCGATCGTCAGCTCCGGACCTGCGGGAGAGAAGGGGCGGGGAGTGATGTGTGGGGAATCTTTGATGACATTCTAATGACGTTTAGTCTTTGTAGGTAAGTAAAGGGATTGTCAGAATTATTGAAATTGAAACTCCAAGTCAAAATAAGTTTAGGTTTATTCTGATATCACTTTGGGTAGCACGGAAGAGTTGAGAAATGCAATAATGCGTTTAGGCGCTGTGCCATCAGTCTTCAGAATATGAAGATTCTGAAAACATGACATAGATGGCGGGCAAGCCGTCCGGTCGGAAGGCGCAGCCCGACCCATACCCCGCTCCTCGGCAAGCTCGTGGGCACGGAATACAATAACACCCACTCACCTCCCGACACGTCGTCCGACCTCAGTACACACTAGAGGTGGCAAAATGTGGACCCGGGGACCCGGTCTATGGAACCGGTCTGGACCCGGATGGGTCCAGACCGGGTCCCCCAAAATATTTGGCCGGGTCCAACCGGGTCCTATCATTTCCCTGTGCTTTATGGTAAACATTAATATCTTTTATGCTTTGGCAAACATAGTCATAGTTGATGCAGTTTCCAGTTCATAAGTCCCAATCCCACTTTTGAATTTTAATATTCCAGCAGATTGGGCTACCTATTCTATAGCATACTGATACTGGTCAGTCTTGCTTCAATTTCTTATCTTGTCACCTACAACAGAATAAACAAGTTCTAAGTGCTAGCAATCCAGAAAACATTTCACCAAATGTTTGTACGGATCACTTCCATTCAGTTTGCTGTACAGCACCTAGCAATATTTTGAGCTGTAGAAATCAAATACCAATAACATATGTAGGTAAGTAGGTATGACTGAAATCCATTTATAAATGGACACAAATCCAATTGAAGCAAGGCTGACCAGTGGCATTCTCACCTGCCTTTTCAAAGACATTGACATACCAAAGTCACTATGCCCACCGGAAATCAGAGTTCATGTTTGATATTCAAATGCATTTCATAACTCAAAGCGCTTTGAAATTATTTCTATCACGGCCAGAAGACAACTCATAAAACCAACATGCCCTTGCATAAATCCATAAAGCTAAAAATGAATCCAAGGCATTCTCCAGAAACCGTAGTATTGATCAGATTTTAGCCAACTGACGCCGCATGGTGGCGCTAGCAGAGCGTATTATACATATAGCGCTCTACTAGCGCCATCATACGGCAGCAGCTGACAAAAAACTGAGTCAATACCAATGCCCTTCTCCAAGGCCAATGATTCCGTGTTGATGTGAAAATGGCGCATTTGAGCGTCATATATGCTATACCTTACGCACGCTAATCTACTGCATAAAGGACGTGCATAAAGGTTACAATTTTGGAACACCTGGTTCTCTTACCTGGTTGGGTTCCCATTTGTGTCGGAAAGAAAAGGCAAGGTGGAAGGACCGAAAGGAATTGGAAGGAACCCTGAATGCCAGACGCGCCAGCCCAGTTGTGATATTCTTGACCATTAGTCCTGGGAGTTTTGACTGGTATTGTGCGTCTTCCACAAGCTCGTCAGATGAACACAGTCACATTTCTACACGCTTAGCTACGAGGAAGTAACCTACATACCTATAACTACTTACAAAATCAGCACTGCTCATCCTCAATCATATCTGAACAGGCTATTACGTGCATGTACCTCAATCATTTTCTTAAAGCTAGCTATGTTAGGTGCACGGACAGCATCCTCAGGCAGTGAGTTCCAAACAGCAATGCATCTGACAGAGAAAAAGCGCTTTCTAGTGTCTGTGTGGGTGAGAGTGGGGAAAATCCTAAAGCAGTGGCCCCTAGTCCGCTCCTGTGGAGGGCGGTCGAACAGGTCATCTGGACTCAGGCACGATCTACCGTTAAACAGCTTCCAACATTGTATCAAGTCCGCACGAATGAGCCTCCCTTGGACAGAATACAGGTTCAAGGACTGTAGGCGATCTGCATAGCTTAATCCATTCATTCCATCCACTCGCTTTGTCCACTTCCTCTGAACATTTTCTAAGACCCGCAAGTCTTTCAGATAACCTGTATGCCACAAGCATGAACAGTATTCTATAACAGGTCGGATATGAGTAGTGAGCAAGAACAACATAAATGCGCGAGACCTGCAAACGGTAGACTTAAGAAAACTATGGGCCAGACCGCTAGCCTTGTGTGCAACAGTCCTAATGTGCTCGTGAAATTTAAGCTGCGAGTCGACAGTAACACCAAGATCAGAGTGAGAATCTACATGTGGGATTTGCTGTCCATCAAGGAAGTACACCGGTGAAGGCAAGTTAGCGCGGGGCCTCGCAAAGCGGAGAACTGCACATTTCTTTGGGTTCATTTTCAGACACCACGATGCTGCTGTGGTTTGCAGTGTATCAATGTCTTTTTGTACTTGGGCAGAGGATAACACTGGTGAGGTTCCTGGGGCATGTTTCACACAGGCATAAAGTTTCAGGTCATCTGCAAAAATTTTATATTCACTTCTCAGCTGTGATGCTACGCCGTCAATATAAACCAGGAACAACAGGGGCCCAAGGACAGAGCCCTGCGGTACACCACTGCTGACAACCCTAGGTTGGCTTATCATGTCCTTCACACACACCTGCATCTGTCTGCCCTGGAGAAATGAACGTATCCAGTCAATGAGAGCACCTGTCAAACCAATCGATCTCAGTTTGGTTATCATGAGATCGTGGCAGACGACATCGAACGCCTTACTGAAATAGAAGAGAATGACGTCAGTCACGCCACCAAGGTCCATGTTTTTAGACACTGTGTTATAAGCTAGGAGTAGCTGGTCCATTGTACTTCTGCCAGCCCTGAAACCGAATTGGTTTGAGGTCAGCAGTGAGTTCGTTTCCAGGTAATTACGTATCTGCGTGCAAATCAGGCGTTCCATCGTTTTGCACACAACAGACGTCAGACTGATAGGTCTATAGTTTAGTGGATCAAACCGGGAGCCCTTCTTGAAAATAGGTATAACTAGGGATTTTTTCCAGCAAGAGGGTAGTCGTCCCTCTCTCTGTGATCTCGTGTATATAATCTGTAGAGGGTAGGCGAGGTCATCAGCACATTCCTTCAATACCTGTGGATGTATTCCATCGGGGCCCATGGCAGAGTTAGGGTCGAGATCTTTGAGAGCATGGCGAACATTCTCTGTACATACTTCTACATGGCTGAGAGTCCCGTCGAAGGCCTGGTGGGGCGAGGGGTTAGTGGGGGTGACAGTGGTGAATACAGAGGCAAAAGATGTTGCAAGTAGCTCAGCCATAGCTGTGGGATCATCAGTATGGTGACCAGATTGCAAAAGCAAGGGACCAACCGCTGGTCTGCCAGTCTTCTTGTTTCTTATATAAGAATGGAGCAGTTTGGGGTTGTCCTTTGACCTGTCAATAAGACTAGATTCGTAATCACACTGCGATCTGGCGGCAAAATTTCGCAACTCGCGGTTTACAGATGAGAAAAGCTTATATGCGGCCAGTGTACCAGTAGAGCTTCTGCCAGATTGCTGCCTCACCCTCTTGTACGTCTGCCAAGCTGCCTGGCGCCTGTGAATTAAGGAAATCGGGGGTCTTGTTTTCCAGGGTGGTTTAGGGGGATTAGCTTGCTGTGTTGGCACATGTAGGTCTACCATCTCTGAAATGATGGCTGTGAAACGGTTAAACGAGTCCTCCACATTCAGGTAGGCCAGCTCGAAGTCCCAGTCCAAGAGCTGTAGTGATCTACGCATTGAAGCATATCGAGCTTTGTGCCAGTTTCTCCTGCGGGACATTGTCCTCCCATGAGGGTCAGCAGCAACATTTTCAAAGACATAGTCACATATCGTCGGACAGTGGTCACAACCTGGGAGAGGGGCTTGTACCATAAGTTGACCAATACGGTCTGGCTCAGATGTGAAGACCAGGTCCAGTGTATTGCCTGACCTCGGGTAGGTTGGCTGTATAACCCACTGCGTAAGTCCAAGAGAGTTAAATATGTCAACAAACATTTGGATTGTCCTCGATCCTCCTGAACTATTAAGTGGATTTCCATGGCACCAGTCAAGTCTAGGGAGATTGAAATCTCCTAACAATATCACTTCCTTATCACTGCAGAAGTTACTTAGAAAGGAGCAAACAAGTTCGTTCTCAGTGTCAGAATAAGAGGGAGGTCGGTAGACTACAGCAACAAAAACATTATAAGACACAAGACAGAAGGTGAGAACATTGGGAATTGGAGCTTGAACATTACCAACAGTGATGTTGTTATGCACATAGGCACATACACCATGTTTGTATACTGAACCATTAGTATCATTTCTAATGAGATTATAGTTAGGAATGTTTACAAATGAGTCTGGAATGTGCTGGAGGAGATGAGATTCAGTAACACAAACAATGTCAAGTTTTGACGAATCTGCAAAATCAAAAAGCATGTTCACCTTGGAGCTTAAGCCATTGAGATTGACCTGTGAAAGACGAATCAGGGTAGATTTAGGCAGATCATTCAGTTTCCCGCGACAGAGGTGGAAGGGGCATCACGAGCAGCAGCAGCAGCCTGAGCCTGGGGAGGGTGATCAGCATTGTCAGCTCTAGCAGCCGAGGAACCCCCTGCTGTCACTGAAGAGGCTTGGCGAGATTGCACAGCTCCATCTCCATCTCCAGTTTGGGGCTCCTGGGCCTGCCGCGCCTGCCTGCGTCTCAAGTACTGCTCAGTTCTCTGGGCATAAGTCAGGTCCCTAGATATGAAGATGCCTCTATAGTCATCAGAATCCTTTAGCTGTTTGGCTTTATCCAGCAAGAGCTTTCTACTTTCATCATCAGGGATTTTGACTCTGAAGAAGTTACTTTGGCCAGGGATAGCCAGTACCTCAGAAGCTTCTACTCTAGTCCCTGTGTGATTCCTGGCAAACTCAGTGAACTTGGCCTTGAACTCAGTGGTAGATGAGGCAGGCAAACCCTTGATTACGACAAAGGCACGGCGTTTGTCCCGTTCCTTCTGCTCCTTCATCTCCTCCCTAATGAGGGTACGGTAGTCCTGAGAGGGGTTAGTGGCAGTGATAGGCTGGTGTGGTAGGGGATGAGGAGCAGCGGTTTGTCCCTGCACATTCACCAAAGCAGCATCGTGGTTGGGGAGTTGGGGAGTTCTGGAAGAAAGCTCCTTGACTTGAGAGGTGAGTTCCTTGATCACAGCACACATTCCCTTCACCTGGACATGCAGCTGTTTGACAGTCTCCGCGAGGTGGGGGTCTGTGTGGCCACTTGGGGAATTGCCCCGAGCGGTCACCTGTTCGACCCTGCATTTCATGCATATAAATTGAATCCCTGCCCCATCATACTTTAATATAGCATTAATGAGCTCCAGCGGCAGTCCCGAACACATCTGTGATCCATGCACCCACTGCTCACACTTGTCACACCCCACAGGGTCAGGGCCAACATCATCGCCACAAGTACCGCAGAGGCACTCCTCACCCCTTTGGGTTGGAGGGTTAGACACACTTGCACTCCTGTCTCTCTTCGCTCCCCTAGTTCCCTTATTCCTTTGGTTACCCCGACGCATAGTTCAACAATCTTCATGCAAACAGGGTGCAAGGACAGGTGTGGCAGGTTGCGGTCTGAGACTGGGCGTCACAAGGGTGCTGCAGCAAGCGTGCAAAGGAAATAGCAACCAGGCTGACACTTAGTGGTACTGACAACGAGGCAAGGCGTGCAGGCGTGCAGACGTGCAGAGCAGGGGTGGCAGTGCAGCAGTCCAGCTTGCAGTTGCAGCATGCAGTTGAAGGCGTGCTTTGGATATAAATTTATCTTTATCCAAGCAGAAAATTATTTTGATGACTTCATCAAAACATAAATAGTACAAGCTGCAGCTGCTTCAGCACTTTTGCACATATAATAAATTGTGTGAACACGTTCGGGAAGAAAGTCTCAGAACCCTTGGTATTTATTCTATGTCTAGGTACTAACAACAAAATGTAGTTTGTTTTCTACGTTAATAAATTGGCACTTAAGTCATGATCGCAACCTACTTAACCAACTTGCAGTACTTAAAAGTTTATTGCCATTACGATTTTGCAGTACTTTATCCCCAACAAAATTTTGCAGTGATTTAACGCCTGTTTTGTCCATTGCTATCGTGTCGACATTTCTGGCGAACCTCACACAGTTTTCATGTTTCTATTTTGATTTTGAATGTTTTATCGTTTGGGGCCCTTGATAGTTGATAATATTTGTAAGGACTAATGAATTTAATTCTAAAAGGAATATCTTTTACCAAGAATATTAGAAAGGTATGTATCAGTATGGTTATTGGTTATCTTGTTCCATGTTGATGTTAGGTTCTTGTTCTGACTCTGGTGAAGGCACTGGTCCATGGATCCCCAGTTCACATCATTTTTAGCAGCTGTAGTAAAAGTGGCTTAGGTTAGCATGAAATTCATTGGTCTACTTACTTCTTATATTCTTAAATATGACCTGAATCTGGTTCCAAAATACAAACTGCGAAGCGAAGTGAAATGACCATGGCATGAGTTTTTTACTTTGCAACACAAGTATGCCAAATTGGAAAGAAACTATTTTCTTTTGCTATACCTACAATTGTACACAATTTTCATAATGAATTTCGGGAACGGGTCCATCTGGTTCCAACGCTGACTTAGACCGGGTCTGACCGGTTCCAGAAATGTGCCAGTCAGACCGGGTCCGGGTCCGGGTCCCAAAATTTTCCAGTTTTGCCACCTCTAGTACACACCACACAGCTCCAGTAGAGGGGCGGCAGGTCCACCTTCTCACCTCCTGAGACTACTGCATCCGACCTCAGTACACACAGCTCCTGTAGAGGGGCGGCAGGTCCACCCACTCACCTCCCGACACTACTGCATCCAACCTCAATACACACAGCTCCCGTAGAGTTGCGGCAGGTTCACCCACTCCTCCCCCAGACTTTGTCCGACCTCAGTACACACACCTCCCGTAGAGGGGCGGCAGGTTCACACACTCACCTCCCAGACTTTGACCGACCTCAGTACACACAGCTCCCGTAGAGTTGTAGCAGGTTCACCCACTCACCTCCCGACACGGCGTCCGACCTCAGGATGCAGTTGGCGTAGAGGGGCAGCAGTTTCATACACTCGGGTAGAATCAGCTGACCGGCAGAGCTGGGCGAGGCACAGTTTTTGCGGTAGCTCGCCAGTATCTGGGCACACTGGGCCGTGAGCTGGTCCCGAATGGCGCGGGGCGACGAGTCCAGAACCTTGGACACCGCTGGAAATAGAGAGAGAAAGGAGTGAGCTAGAGTGTGGGGATGTGTGGGTTTCAGTACACAATGGCAGTATTACTCAGCAATGAGTTATTCCACTAAGAAGTATAGCCGACTACAGAACGATGTTCCACTCCTCAGAAGCTATCAGTTGACCGGAGCGCTAAGCTGTGCCGTTTGTCACGCAATTAAGCGTGTCGATTGTGAGCATTGGGACAAAGCTATAATTTGTGAACTCAGCCCGTGTGATGCGGCACAGCCTACCACTCCAGGCAAATAATTGCCTGTGAAAAGTGGAACATCATTCTGTAGTCGACTATACACCCGACTGATAGATTGGACTATAAGAGGCCTACACCCTGTCATTTTCACTTCATACACACATTGTGACTTGCATCACTCTTGGTGACTTTCCACTTAATTTTTTTTCCCCGTTCCAATTATTCTGTTCGGTGTTCAACCCCACAGCAAGCCCTGTTTGACCCCTTGGTCTGGTTTATCCTGTTTGATCCCCGTAACATACCCTGTATAACCCCTAGCATACCGGCCTGTATAACCCGTTAACATACCCTGTATCCCTGTATACCCCCCCCCCCCCACCCCCACCCCCGGTATAACATACCCTGTTTGACCATCAGGTTGGTCATGGTGTCCAGCTCACAGCTCCTGTATAACCCCGCAATATACCCTGTATAACCCCGTAATATACCCTGCCTACCCCCTAACATACTCTGCATAAACCCCTAACTTACCCTGTTTGACCATGAGGTTGGTCATCGTGTCCAGCTCACAGCTCCTGTACAGGTCGGCCATCTGACTGCAGACATTCAGGCTGAGGTTCAGCACCCTCAGACGCCTCTGGCCGCTGCAGGCAGTGTACAGCAGTGCGGCCTGGATGTAGACGCCGTCCTCCTCTGTCAGTTTGTCGTCGTGTTTGAGCTCCACCGTTACAGCCTGTGTGAGAGGGGGAGGGGAGAGTTAGAGCTGGGGGAGTGAGGGGTGTTCATGCTTCGTGTTCATTCGTCAATCCTCGTCCACAATAGGCCTAAGCTCTCATATTAACGTTCCGGTTTACCAAACCAAACGTACTCCTTCAGTTCCAAGGAAATCATTTTAATGCTACCCTTTTTGAAATGCGCACCCTGTCAATTTATTTTTCTCTGGTCTTCCTCTCATTTTCCGTAACCAATGTCTACGTTAATTGGTGTTTTAGGGGGGCGCAGACTACTAAAGTCGCATTTCGCCCATATCCATATCCAAGTATCTATCGTTGATGGAAGACATTTCTACATGTAGAGAGTAAGCGAGGCGAGGGTAACCATCCTCATCCCCACGCCTCCTCCTCTCTCTCTCCCTCCCTCTCTCCCCTCTACCCACCTGACTGCTATCGATGGCCGCTAGCTCCATATCGGTCGTATTCGACATGTAGAAATGTCCGTGAAAGTCCACCGGCCGCACTCCGGTCGAGGTTCGAACCCGCATAATGGCGTCAAAACCGACCGGCTGGCTAACGGCCCGGCTGAGGTCACGCAGCAGGCGGTCTCCGTCCAGCTCAGCCTGAGGGCCAGGGAGGGGTTAGAGAGGTCACGGAGCAGGCGGTCTCCGTCCAGCTCAGCCTGAGGGCGGGGGAGGGGTTAGAGAGGTCAGAGAGGTCAGGTCAGTCTGCTCGAGTGCAGATACACCTTTTTACGCCCAATTTAGGCGGAAGTGCACACATGTCATTAATTGTGCAGGTGATTTCGATGGTTCGGCATAGTGCCTTCATATATTGAATTGCGGCACGATATTCGTCATTGTGCACCCCACTCCGTCATAGTGCAGTTAAAAGTGGCCCAGGTTCAGACATATTGGACTTAGTGCAAATAATAATTCGTCAGGCTAATTCAATTTCGACATACGGCATGTGCTTACGGCAACGTTCAAATAAATCCAGCACGGTATAAATAAGCGATTATGTAAACAGATCTCACCTTCCTACGCAACTTAAGCCTCAGCAAAGCTCTGGAGCTAATGAAGAATGTGGGATGTCACGTGAACGTGAAATGCGCTACACCTTTTTACGGCCAAATATAGAAATAGTGCACACAGTTGAGTATAATAGTGCAACCGATTTCGACAGTTCGGCATAGTGCACCTCTAGTTCGGCCAAGTGCATGATATTCGGTAATAGTGCACACGTTTCAAATGAAGAGCAGTCAATTTAGAAGATGGTGCGTTCAAATTCAATGAGCCGTAGGTTCAATTTCGTCATAGTGCACGGTTTCGTCATGTGGCCTGATAGTCGGCGTCCAGCAAAGCGATTTAGGCGATGTTCAAGTGAATTCGCTGCTGGATTGGGAAAATATTTTTGAAAGCCCCTATCTGCCTGTCAAGAGTAGCGTGAATCTTGGTAAAAAACCTGCTCAAATGCAGTTTCAGCTCTCAGGAATTAACTTATCATTAGTCTCGCTCTAAGAACTCGGCGACACGGTCGAGTGGCGGTCACGTGGCATTCAGGGCTTCTGAATCGGGTGCATAACTTCGTTGCTGGTTCAAAAAGATCAGAAATGCTATGGATTCTTGTTATCGCCTTTCAGCATCATGGCGAATTTGATTGAACAAAGCCGAAAAAATATTGCTCATGCCGAATATATAAGCACCCGACGAATTATGTGCACTATGTCTTATATGATTGAAGCTAAGGCACCCAGATGAAACATTAAATACCCTCTACCTTTTGCATCCAGAGCAGTGCAGCTGGCTACTTGACTTTTTTGCGTTGCTGACTGACTACGAGTGTCATTGGAGGCTCAGGTAGCGTGAAATGTCAAATAAAAATTGTTATTACTTATTTATGCAATGCCGTGTTACTGAACAGTGCCTAAATTACATGCGGGACCCCGAAATTGAAACGATCTGACGAATAATGTGCGATATGTCTAATATGCCTGAACCTGGGTCACTTTAAACCTGCACTATGACGAAATGGCTGCAATATGGCGAATATCGTGCCGCGATTCAATATATCAATGCACTATGCCGTGCTGTCGAAATCGCCTGAACTATTTTTGAAATGTGTGCACTGCCGCCTAAATTGGGCCTTTTCATTACATTCATTAAAATCTCGTTAATTTTTATTAGCAGTAAAATTTCAATAATTTAGTAAAATTTCATTAGCAGCTTGTTTGAACGGCACCACGCTACACTTGATGAACAGCAAGAGCGTTGTCAAAAATATTTTCTAGATGGGGCACCGAATTCGCTTGAAGGCTAACTAAATTGTTTTGCGGTACGCCGAATACCAATGCATATGACGAAGCAATGCACTCTGGCGAAACTGAAATCGCAACTACTGAAAATGAATGCATTCTCTTTTAAATTGCTTGCACTGTTTCGGAGCCGTGTGCACTATTACTGAATTTCATGCACTCGGCCTAAGAAGCGGTGCACTTTGCCGAACTGTCGAAATGGTTGCACTATTTCTGAACTGTGTGCACTATTTCTATATTTGGCCGTAAAAAGGTGTAGTACAGGTCAGATCAAATCACATCGCATATCACCACCAATGATTAGCTGAGTGACAGAGTTCTGAAGCAGGGTCAAAAGGTCGAATGTTCATGATATCATTCCGCATCTACAATCGTTGCATTTCAAATTTTGTACTTTTGCACATTCAACTTGGAAACAAGCTAACTTGAAAATCGTCCACCATAAGCTTGAAAGCAGACGTGATTTGAGATCTGATGATGATGGTTTGAGTTTAAGGACGCCTCGGCGAGGCCATTGATCACTCAAAGGTCAAAGGATCACAAAGGCCATTGATCACAAAAAAGAACCACTCTAAACAAGAAAAAATGAGCTTGACTAATCCGTCAAACGGAGTGTGTATTTCCACTCCATCCCACTTACCTGAAAGTAGGTGTATTTTAAGATCGGCTCGCCACTCACATGGAAGTAGGTGTATTTCCATCCCAACCCATAAGTGGGTGTATATTCACACCATTTACTAACCTGGAAGTAGGTGTATTTGAAGATCTCGCCGCCGGTGAGTCGCACCACCTGCCCGATGGTGGGCAGGTCGACGTACGAGTTGTTCACCAGGAAGAGGCTCACGCTGCAGCCCACCTGGACACACTCCTGTCCCAGGTTGTTGTAGAACTGCGTCTGGGGAGCTGCGGAGGGAAACAGAGCTCACGTCAGATGACGTATTTATGGCGGGTGAGAAGGACGTGGTGTATTTAGTATAAAAATGTGATTTTACACACATCTGGCAAAACAACAAAACGAGTAGCGCGATGTACAAATGTGATGTGAGCTGAGTGTGTGTGCGTGAATGTGTGTGTTAGTTGTGCAACTGAAACCCGATGTTCCGTTTTATGACATGTCAATCATAATAGTCATGTGTTCATGGACCGATTGCACGATGTAAATACATACATACATATACATACATACCTACATACATACATAAACACATGCATACATACGTGGGAGCTACAGCTGTATTTACCGTTGGGAGATAAAACACTCCATACCATATGACATTTTTACACACACAAAAAAACAATATCGACACAATTACACCTTTAGTTCGGTCAAAAACGTCCATAGAACACTGATAGTCTGTGCGTAGAGTCGATGGAAGAATGTGGACAGTGTTTCCATTGCAATTGATACAACTAAGCAGGCCAGCCATACAGTACATATGCACTCACTGAACACCAAACAACACAGTACATGTGCACTCACTAGAGACCAGTCATATGGTACAGGTGCACTCATTACTGGTCAGCCATACAGTGCAACTGCACTCACTACAGTCCAGCCATACAGTACAGGTGTACTCACTGAGGACGTGTTTCTCCTTGTCGGATCCGAGCACCTTCCTGTCGTCTCTGTTATTCAGCTGGCCCGGCGCCTGGCTATACAGTACACGTGTACGCACTACAGACCGACAATACAGTACGCGTGTACCCACTACAGTCCAGCTATACGGTACAGGTGTACTCACTGAGGACGTGTTTCTCCTTGTCGGATCCGAGCACCTTCCTGTCGTCCCTGTTCTTCAGCTGGCCCGGCGCCTGACCGCTCGGCAGGGAGGAGTGGAATACGAACAGACGCCCAGAGCAGTTGGCGGCCTGGGGGTGCACCGAGAGGTCAGACAGAGGTCAGAAAGACGTCAGAAGAGGTTCACGGAGGTAATATAGGAGGAAATGGAGTGGTGATTATGTGTTCACGAAAAAAATAAATAAACAGTGGTGAGCTGAATTGAAAAAAACTTGTAGCTGCTAGTTCTTTTAGTGATCCAAGCAGAGCATATTTAGACATTGACCGCAATCCAGCGGAAGAAGTTATTTCTTACGAGGAAAAACGATTAATAGCTCCTGCCCTCCCATCAATATTAAATAAATCATGTTTTCTACTTCCTTCACCGCTCGGATTCCTATGAGAATGATAGTTATCAATATACGAATTCACGGAACGCATCAAGCATCAGCGTTCCCAGCTTCAGCCCCACGGCCCACACCTATCTCTCTCCCCAATACCATCTCAATGGACATTTTTCGTAGGTACTTTTAGTAGCTTTCATGTCCCAAACTATATTGTCTAACTATGCTGTCTCATCATCCATACTTAAGGCGAATCTACAGTAGTATATACCGTCCCCTAATAAAGCACTCCCCACCCCTTTACCTGTACCTTAAATGCCTCCATATCATCCCCTCCGCTGCATATTCGGCGCCTCCCTTTACCCTTTACACGTACCTTCAGCGCCTCCATGCCGGCCTGTATGGCCAGTCTCAGCACCATCTCCGTCTCCCGTCCCCCATGTCCTCCTCTATTGAACACTATCATACGAGACTGTACTGTTATACTCGTACGTACCTTCAGAGCCTCCATGCCAGCCTGAATTGCCGGTCCGAGGACCACCTCTGTCTCCCTCGTGTTGACAAACAGTGCCGGCAGCTGCTCCATGAGACTGTCTATCACGGCCTCAGCCTCAGCAGCGTCCACCAGCAGACCGTCCACCAGGGGTACGAACATATCCTGCACGTCTCCGACCACCAGCATCTGAGGCTGGGCCAGCACCGGCTGTGGGGGAGAGGGGGAGTTACACAGTGGTACGAACATATCCTGCACGTCTCCGACGACTAGCATCTGAGGCTGGGCCAGCACCGGCTGTGGGGAGGGGGAGGGGGAGTTACACAGGGCCAGCACCGGCTGTGGGGGAGGGGGGAATTACACAGGGCTAGCACCGGCTGTGGGAGGGGGGGGAGTTACACAGGGCCAGCACCGGCTGTGGGAGGGGGGGGGGAGTTACACAGGGCCAGCACCGGCTGTGGGGGCAGGGGAGTTACACAGTGCCAGCACCGACCGGAGAGAGTCAGCTGGGAAAGGGTGTTATACAATCACACAGACTAATGCAAGCACTTTAAAGATAAAGTAGATGAGGGAATGTCATTGAGATTTCCACAGGACTAGCTTTCGATTAGAATTTAAACCTGTCTATCAATGCATTAGACATGATATCTGCTTCACAATAGACAACAATAGAAGTGTATATACTCATGATTTTTGTGTGTTACCTGGACGTAGCTATGGTTATTTTGCGTCCACCCGAGCGAGTATAATACAAAACCACTGAGGATGCAGTCGTTCGTGTCTACCCCTGGCAGTGAGCTGGCCACGGAGCCTCGTTCAGTCGCCTCACCTTGCAGTTGAAGAAGTGGACCACATTGCTGTATGTGATGAATCCGACCTTCATGGACGAGGCAGACTGTCCGACGTCAATAGGTAGCTGACGCAACACCTGGAGAACAACGGCAGAGTGAGGTTATGATGGAGCACTTGGCGGAAGTATCTGAAGAAAACCAGAAAACAATGGTTGATGGAGAGAGAGAGGGTGGTCATGAGGTATTACATGGAGTGCGATGGGTGGTTATAATTTATCGACTAAGGAGGATGGTAAAAATACAGTGCTGCAAGTGGTATACGGTGGTTCATGTTGAAACTGCATTCTACGACTAACTCCGATTAAGTTGAGAAAGTCAATGCACATAGCAAAATATGCGTCAAATACGTTGGTATTCGACCTAAAACAATCGAGCTTAGGGCACAGAAGTACGCCATTTTTTCTTCAGAAATACACAATAATCAACTCATGTCCATCAACCGAACATCCACCGCAGTTGCTCCATTACGCAAGTAAATCAACCACCTTTCCATAAGCTTATCGCCGTCAATTCCATCCACTCCCACATAAGCTTCCTCACCTCCTTCACGTTGTTACAGAGCAGGTGGAGCAGGCCCGACTTGACGTTGTTGTACGACACGTCGATGACGAATATGTACGCCGGCGGCTTCGGGAACTCGTTGTTCTGCGGAAAATGGAGGAATTAGCAGAGTTAGAGGGAAGAAAAGACCAGAAAGAGGGGAATATCCAGGAAGTCAGCCTTTCTCTCCATGTCTAAAAGCATTTAAATACGAACTAAGCTGTGCATACCTAAGCATACCACATATACATTCGCGCCGTCATTTGATGGGCTTCCGATGAATAAGATTGCATCATACGGTTACACTTACTTATAGGTGCAGGGGTACGCAACTTTCCTATGACATTTATTTAGCGATGGTCTAATTTCTCTGTAAAATATTTTTGTAGTGATATGAATTTTACTTTCCCACGCGACGCATAATAGATATGGTTCTACTGACTCACCCTGCAGTACTCCTTGGCAAAGACGTACTCGTACTTTCCCAGTACAAATAGTGATGGTCCCAATGACTCACCTTGCAGTACTCCTTGGTACAGACGTACTCGTACTTTCCCAGTACGAATAGTGGCGGTCCCAATGACTCACCCTGCAGTACTCCTTGGTGCAGACGTACTCGTACGCTCCCATGCAGAGCTCGGGCCGCTCGTACTTGTCAAGTCTCTGTCCAGTGTGGTCGAGGTGCTGGAAATACTCCTGGGGCACTGTACAGAGCGGCGGGGCGGGGGACGAGGTTAGACACACTGCAGTACACATTGGATGACCACAGTTCATACTTTATAGTAGAGGTGTGAGAAGCAGCAGGGCGACAGGGCAGGGGTAAGACATGACACATCATCAAAGAATTGGCGTTCGCCGCCCAAGACGAGTAAGATAAAACATTTGATTTCATCGTGACCACTGTAAAACAATATGCCATAGGAAAATGCTAGTCTCTGCAGCCAATAAATGCATACGCATGTAGTAAGTACTCATCTTGTCTTTAACAAGCCATAACAGTAGAGCTGAAACATGCAATAATTAATTTACTAAGGATGGAAAATTCGAAACAATTAGAATCAAAGCAGTATATTATGACGCCATCAAAACGCAAAAGAGGCAAAGAGAGCAATTTCAAAATTCCACCGCACCCCACCCACCTAATCCAGGAGCCACTTTCAACCTCTTCCATCCCCAAACTCACCTCCCCCTTCTTCTGACACCCCCGTCCCCCCCCCCTCCGCTCACCTTCGGTGCTGGCCTTGCAGAACGGACAGCTGAACCTCCTGCCCCCATCGATGAACGTCATGAAGGGTCCCATATAGGCCTTACAGCGTATACAGCGGACGGGTCCCAGAGTACCGAGGTCCACCACTGGAGGGGGCTGTTCGCCGTCCGGTAGCTCGGCCAGAGGGGCGATACTCAGCGCCAGAGGGATGTTGGTCTGTGGGAGGGAGAGAGAGAGAGAGAGAGAGAGAGAGAGAGAGAGAGAGAGAGAGAGAGAGAGAGAGAGAGAGAGAGAGAGAGAGAGAGAGAGAGAGAGAGAGAGAGAGAGAGAGAGAACAGTTAACTTCATAAATGTTACAGACAATCACTTACAATAAAATATTTAGCCCACGAATGAATGAAACAGATAGTCCATTTTAATCCACATCAACAAATTTAACGAACAGTCATTCACTTAAGACACTTGGTTTGATTTAGAAACCATAACACCTGCTCTGTACCGCTCGAATGGTACTGGGAGCTATTGGAATGAGCAGACGTGTTTAGCAGTGCTCTAGTTTACTGCCTATTTTGGCGTAATGGACCCGCATAATGACTTTGAGATAAGCATGAAATGAATATTAATTTAACGTAGAATATTTTGGTGGTATTTGCAGTTGAGTTGAATGGTGAAATAATTGAATTATAGGCTTTAAAAAAAATGATTATTTTGACCCAGTTTTGAAATTTTAGACTCACCACCGCGTTAATTCTGCTCTAGATTTTTAGTAGTAAGTCTCGTGCTAGTTCTGAAGAGAGATCCTTATAGCCAATAATGTCAGACTCTGACACCTCGGTTAGTGGCTACGATCAAACAGTGGGAGAATGGGTTGTGGCGAGAAAGACCAAACGGAGCAGGATAAGCAAGGCAAAAATCGTAGCATCAACGATTACGGACGCTGAAGAAACTGTACCGAAGAGCATTTTTTGTCCTATCTCTCCTCTCACCAATCAGCCTACCGCGACCCACGAACAGCTGACGAGTGCGACTAACTCTACGCATACCGGCGAGAATGACGACAAAGCATCCCACGACAGGGTGGCGACGAGCGCGAGGGCGCCGACCCTGGACCAGCTGATCCCCACTAGTGCGACGTCAGCCGACAAGAAACGTCTAATCGCTGAGTCGGATTGCATTTTCAGTGGGCGCTACGACCCAGCTGCGGTGTGCTGTATCATGGCATCCATGGACGAACCCGACCTGAGAGAGCTCCGAGAACTGCTGCATGCTGCGCTGTCTGCGGTCATCCCGGCTGTCGCCGGCCGTCCTCTCTGCCGCCGTGTTACCGGCAACTTGGCTGGCCTAGCGGATGACTGCTGGACCTTGGGCTACTCGGCGGCTCAAGGTATGCTGACACAGCGTGCTAATGCTGCCACTCTGAAGCCAGCGGGTCGCAATCCCCTGCCACCCCCCGGTCCCACCCGGAGCGCGCCCTCGGACTCTGCTATGTCGTGCCCCAGCGCGATAACTTCGTCACTCGAGGCGATCATATCCACCCAGCTGCGAATGGAGAATGAAATTAGGGAGCTTCACGCTCGTCAAGCTACCCAGGATGCTTACAAAACTCGTCTGAAACAGCTGGAACTGGAAATAACTGGTCTCCGCAGAGAATGTGCTGCTAGAGATGACACGATTGATCAGTTGAAGGTCCTTGTAGAGGGGCTGCTAGCCCGTGAGGGCCCACAGCCACGCCGGCCAGTCACCCCTGGATTACAGGTGCAGCCGGGGCGACATGACAGCGATGCGAGGTCCGCTGCAAATGATGCTACTGCTGTAACTGAAGAGGCTCACTCTGACCGCACCGCCGCCCGCGAGATTGCCGCCAACTTGGATCTGCGTGCCCTGGGTGAGGCGATCGCTGGTGCCCTGCATTGGCGGGTCGGCGATTCAGACAGTGAGCCAGAGCAGCAGAACACGCATACCGTGTCTGAGCGTAGGACAGCGCAGCCCGCGAACCACAGTCAAGCAGCAGTGCCGACTGCGGCACCGACCAGCGACACGTCTGCCGCGGCTCCAGGCGGCCCGACACGGCGACAGAGCATGGTGACCGGCTCTGGTCCCCCATCGGCTCTGATTCAGGAGCCGCCTCGTCAAGAATCTCGGAAGGAGAAGTTCATCCTGGAGGGCTTCCGTGTGGATGTTGCTGACAGTGACGTGCGGAGTCTGGTCTGGACGGTTGTTCGCAATCTCCATGATTTCCAAAGGGTATCACGCCGCGGTCCTGCTGCCTCTGTAAGCAAGGCGTTCAAGATTGAGGTTGATGCTGAGGACACCGATCGTATATTGGACCCGTCCAGCTGGCCGACTGGCCTGGTTGTGCGCCTTTTACCTCACCCTGTGAACACTGGGCGCCGAGGACAGCGTTTTCGCCGTCCTGCGGCCTCATCTGGAAGATCACAGACGACCCGGAGTGCTGCAAAAAGAACTGAACATGGCAATGCTAACTGGCAGGCGACGGCCCCGCGCCGTTACAGTGATGTGGTCAGAGGCATTGAACACTGTGACACTGCCTGGACGGCGGCCGCCCAACGCCGGGACGAAGATGAGACCCGCCGGGAAGCAGTCACCTCACAGCGCTCCAGAGCCCCCAACAGAGACTGCACTCACGGCGTCGGTACATCTAGCGCGGTCGACGCTGTCGGCGGCGACGGAAGTAACGCCACACATGGTGACGGTGGCTGGGAAGAGGAAAGGCCGCGCCGTTATGGACCATTCGTGCCAGCTAGATACCATGGACACCAAGATGACAATGCATGGGTGTCAACCTATCAGCGCCGTGATGGAGACGGACACTGGGCAACAGCCGCCTCTCACCGCCCAGGCGCCCCTAGTCGAGGCAGCGAACAGGACGCCGGCGCTCCCTGGGTTCCAGCTGCCTCCCGTCACGTCAGAGGAGGCGCCACACACGGTGGCAACGGCTGGAGGGCGACTGCTTCGCAATGTGACGGATCCGGATACCGTGGGTGGCCCTATCAGCGCGCACGAGAGGCCACCTCCTGGGAATAGCGCCCAGATGGCTACTCCTGGGGGCCATCCCTGTCCTGCTGCCACCGCTGTGAAGCATGACAGAGCGGAGTGCCGTAATGCTGTGGACGCAAAAGTAACTCTGAACATGAGCCTCACTCTGGGCACTTATAACTGCGAAGGATTTCTCGCAGGAGCGCAGTATATCGCCGACTGTCTAATACCTGAATGTGATATCTTATTTTTATGCGAAACCTGGCTAGCCCGTGCCCAGGGTGCTTATCTGGAGCATGCACTCTCCTCTCTAAGCTCCGAAGAATTTCAGGTATTTCAAGAATTCGCCATGGAACTACCACCAGGGACTGGAGATGGCAGACCCCACGGTGGCGTGGCTTTTGTTTGCCGCCGTCAAGCGGGGCGCTCATTTCGCGCTGTAGAGTGTAATGACTCTCGTATCTGTGGAGTTACGATTGTGGAGCTGAGCCGTCCTCTTATAACGATAATTGGCTGCTACATGCCGTACTGGAATTCATCTGCCGTAAATTTTGAAGAGTACACAATCCTGACGGGGAAGCTTGATGCATTACTCTCTTCGCTAAGACCCTCAGCTCCAGTGGTACTTGTAGGCGATTTTAACTGTGCTCTGCCACCACTGTCACCAGAACTGCGCCCACCGGGCTGGCACCGTCTTCGGGGTTTCTCTCCGCTGAGTCTTCTAATGCAAGACTTATTGGACGACCACGGACTGACAGTCGCCGAGTTCCGGTTCTCGCAACCAGTGGCGTACACCTATGCTCGAGCTGACGGCCAATCGCACATCGATCACATCGCTGTACCGCAATGTCTGGTACCTCAAGTTCATGATTGTCGCATCGTAGCCCCCTGTGTGGACAACCTGAGCCCACATCTTCCGGTCCTTTGCAGCGTGGTGCTGCCGTCTGCCTCAGCTGGCACCAGTCTCGATGTCTCCAGCCCTCCACTGAATATGGGTTCCATCCAGGGATGCGGAGCCGTGGAAATTTCAAACGGCTCCGGCTCCGGCTCCGGCTCCGGAGAAAAAAATCGGCTCCGGCTCCGGCTCCGGCTCCGGGTGAAATGTTATGGCGGCTCCGGCTCCGGCTCCGGCTCCGAGTAAAATGGTCCGGCTCTGGCGGCTCCGGCTCCGGCGGCTCCGGCTCCGACTTAGTACATCCCCTATGCAATCAATTAAATACCTACGGGTGGAAGAAAAATTGGATTGGTTATACGCTTTACCTACTCTTGCCATGACCGGCTCACCGCGTCCCCGCGCAAACGCACCTCGGAGAGAACTGGCAGAACAAAGGACTAGGAAGCGATGGCATTGGAAACGCAGTCGCCGCGAATCGGAGTTCACTGAACCATCGTAAGCTGACACCCATCTCGGCTGCATTGGGGGGTGGGGGTGTGGGGGGGGGGGGGAGAGACGGTGCTGGGAGTCGCAGTCCACTGCACTGGCTTCAAAACAATGGCCGTCACCTGATGACCGGTCCTCATGTTCTGGGGATGCAGTAGACGTGAGGGGGGGAGGAGCAGACAGGAAGTTGATTGCGTACTGTGGGATACTGGGGATATTCGGCTTTTTCATTCACTTGATGGCCCATGACGTACTATTGGTCTCAAGATAAGGGCCCAGGCGACCTGTAGTTTTGATGCGGTGAATACCCTTACCCTCGTCACAACTCGGGCCGAGTGCACCCCTCCTCCCAGCCAGCGCCACCCCCACTCGCATTGTGGCGAGGGTGAGGGTATTCACCGCATCAAAACTACAGGTCGCCTGGGCACTTATATTGAGACCAATAGTACGATATGTTTTACTGCCTTGTACTGTCAAACCGAACTATGTCAATTATTTTTTTCCTCTTCAAAAAATAAAAAGGAGCCGGAGTCGCCCCCTTTTTTGGCGGCTCCGGCTCCGGCTCCGGCTCCGGGCTATATTGTTTCACGGCTCCGGCTCCGGCTCCGGCTCCGGGCAAAATATGCCGGCTCCGGCGGCTCCGGCTCCGACTCCGGCTCCGGCTCCGCATCCCTGGACTTCCATCCATTCAGAAGTACTAGATTGGAGTTGTCCAGAAAAACTGCAGATATATTTGTCTTCTCTAGACGAGCTTATTGGTGCTTGTCAGCTCACTAACGGTGCCACCCCGGATGAGATTGACGAAGCAATTACACGATGCATACATACCGCTGCGCGAATCGCCGGATGCTCCGAGTCGCGACGTCCCCCGAAGCCCTGGTGGTCGCCTGATGTGGCAGTGGCGCGGGATCGCACTCGTTTCTGGCATCAGATATGGGTAAACTGTGGCCGTCCTACCCTCTCAGCAGTGGCACAGTGCTATCAGGCTGCAAGATCTGCTTACCGTCACGCCCGCAGACGTGCAGCAGTGACGCGGATCGAGAGCGAGGCCCACACTCTCCGACTGCTCCGCCGTGACAAAAATCTGACAGCCTTCTGGCGACGTGTGCAACAGATACGGCGTAATGGACTCAAGTCGGCCTCTGATCTATCCGCCGCCGACTTCCGCACCCACTTCCAGACTGTGCACCAAGATAGTCACAGGCAACTGACTCTGGACCAGCTCCAAATTGCTGAACATGTAGATTCTCGACTAAGGAGAATCCGTAACGATGCATCCGAAAGAACGGTTTCAGCTGGACAAGTAGCAGGCCTCATCCACCGGTTACAGCGTGGGAAGGCACCTGGTATAGACGGCATCACGGCGGAGCACCTTCTCTATGGTCAGTCGCCTTGTCTCCTGTCAGCTCTGGCGCACCTTCTCTCTGTCTGCCTGTCCACGTGTAGCGTGCCAGCTACCTTCGCTGACAGCGTTATTGTACCCGTGTTGAAGAAATCTCAATCGGACCCTAACTGCTTGGACAACTATCGACCGATTTCAATCACAACCTGCGCATCTAAGCTGCTCGAGCTGTTAGTGCTAGACGAACTGAACGCCTCATTTGAACCTCATCATCTGCAGTTTGGTTTTATCTCCAATCGGGGCACCATGCAAGCGTCTCTGTTGGCTGGAGAGACCATACAGCAGAATCGAGCCAGGGGTCTTCCTGTTTTTGTCGCAAACCTTGACGCGAGGAAATGCTTTGACCGAATATGGCATGACGGTCTGTTCTTCCGTCTGGAAGATTATCTTAGCGACTACTGCTGGTGCCTCATGGTCACCTGGTACCGCCACCTCTCTGCAAGGGTGACTTTTGGTGGCGCCACATCTGAAGCGTTCCTGGTCTGCAGGGGCACCAGACAAGGGGCCATCTTATCGCCAACCCTTGCAAACATCTTCCTCTTACCTCTTATTGAGGTCCTAGATCGCAGCGGTCGTGGAGCATATCTACACAGCCAGCACGTACCCGCTATCTGCTACGCTGACGATATTCTCCTTATATCTGCGAACGCGCGTGACCTCGGTGCAATGCTACAGATGGTGGGAGAATTCGCGGCTACTTGGCGCCTCGACTTCGTTCACCCTGAACCGGGAAAAACCAAGAGCCATTGTATTATATTTGGACAGGAACTATTCACGAGCACACCGAGGTGGACACTGTCAGGACAGCAGCTGCAGATCCGGCAGACGACCGAGCACCTCGGTACGGTGCTTGATGACAACCTCAGCACAGACAGCCACGTGGCTCAGCGCATCAGGCGCGCTTGTGCATCATTCTATGGCCTCACACCCCTGGGCAATTTCACCAACCGCCTGACTGCTGCTGACAAAATCTTCCTCTGGAAGACAGTAGTGCTGCCGGCACTGATCTTCGGCTGTGAGACGGCTCCCCTCAGTTCCGCCGACATTGAGCGTCTAGACTCGCGACAGGCTTCGCTGATCAAGGCAGCGCTGGGTCTGCCGCGTTCTGCGCACCATACGGCTCTTTTGATTGCTGCTGGGGTGCCTCGCATCGGTGAGGTGCTGCGAGGTGATGCCCTCCGCGCATTCCGTAATGCTTTCCGCGCTGACCACCGTCTTCGCCAAGCCTACGTCACTGGACTGGCCAGACTTGCTACGTACCCCGAGCAGTTGGATGGGTCGTTTATTGGCCACGTATATAATCTGTGTGGTGGGAACTTCGGCGCTATCATGCACATCGCTGCTGGGTACGTCGATCACGACATAGTCCGGGCACCACTCCAAGAAAGTGGTCTTATAGACAGTTTGAAGATGGTTTTGGCAAGCAACTGTCAGGCCTCGCGGCGCCTGTTAAGACTACTAACCTCCTGAGTGCTGATTAACTGTGTGTGTGGGTGGGGGGGGGGTATGTATCTTTTTGTCGCATGACGATGCTGAATAAACAATAATAATAATAATATTACTCCCGCAACATATTACCAGTTAAAGCAACGCGTCGATATCAAAGCACAGTGCGTAGTCAGTCAGTCATTCTTAGAGCTTGAGGCGAATCTAGCCTAAGACTAGCCCTAGCAAGCAATGTTTGCGAAAAACAAAGTAAAAAAAAAGCCATAGAGAACGATCGTGTTGTTTGGCAGAATGAAGTATGTCTGTTCTTACGACCAGCTCTATTATCGAACTTGTGACGTTTAAGGCAAAATGGCGCTGATGAAAAGAATCGAAGGAAGATCAAAAGCTAAATAATTTCATCATCAAGTGAAATGAATGAAAGAAGACGCAACAATTAGTCACCAATTTGTGTCAATGCCATCGTAGCCTAGCCTGAAATAAATGACATCATGCCCATTGCCCATGTCAAGTTTACTACTTGACATGGGCAAGTAGTAAATAATATTATTATTAATATTATTAAATAATATTATTTGCCATTAATACTGGCAAAATCCCAGATAACTTCAAGTTTGGATTAGCTACCCCGGTCTTTAAAGGACATGGAACCGATCCTTCTAAGACGGATAACTATAGGGACATATCTGTCCTTACCACCCTCTGTAAAGTTTTTGAGATACTGATCGTGAAACGACTTCACCCAAAGATGGTCGAGGCTGGTATCTACTCAGAACTACAGTTTGCGTATCAAAAAAGTAGAGGGACACTCCAAGCAAACTTTGTTCTCCAAGAAGTCATATCAGCTAACAGAGACATTGGGAAAACGACCTATGTTGCATTTCTCGACGTACGCAAGTGTTTTAACTCTATTTGGCACAACGGGGTAATCTACAAACTCATATGCGCCAACATACCACCAAGGTTGATCGTCATTTTGCGCAACTTGTATCGAGAGTTTTATGTCAAAGTGAAAGTTGGAGGAACTGTATCCACCGATGGTCGCATAGAGCAAGGGCTCAAACAGGGAGGCGTCTTATCATCGAGCATGCTGATCCTATTTATGGAAGACAAGATACGCATGCTGCTGGAATCACATAAGGGAGCCAAGATAGGGTGTAAACAAGTACCAGTTATCGCTTACGCCGATGATGAAGTACTCATAAGCACAGACCCAAACGAACTCCAAGAAATGCTTGATATCGCTTACAACCATAGTTGCTTGTGGCGTTATAGATATAACGTATCAAAAACCAAAATAATGGTCTTTGGCAGGACAGCTCCGGTACAGTGGACGCTTGGCACTGAATCAATAGAACAAACTGATGAATACACCCACCTAGGAATCATTATGACAACCAGAAGTCCAGCAAAGAGAAGGATAGAAGAATGCATGAAGAAAGCAAGAAGAACATTTTTTGCTAAGTGTAAGAAAGGAATCAACCTCAAAATGGACAATCCGATGTCACACTATACAACGTGGAGAATATATGCTGAACCGGTTCTAATTTACAGCCTAGCAGTTACATCCCTTTCACCAACAGATATCATGTACTTGGAAGGGATGCTCATGCGCATTTACCGTCTCATCCAAGGTTTACCAACCAAAACGCAAAAAATGGTGACATATGTGATGTTGGGTGCACCGACATGCACAAGCCTCGTAATGAGAACCGCACTCCAATTCATAGGTTTCCTTCTGAGAGCTGCGAAGGAACACACTCTAACCAGATATATCATCACCCATGGAGCAGTCAATGCTGATCGAACCACGAGTCTTGTGCGCCAATGGGACACATTGCTCCAACATCTGAACTTACCAAGCCTCTCTATTCTGGCTAATCAAAAAATAGACCAACCGCGGACAGCATGGAACAAGTTAGCATCTGCATCAGTGGATCAAAGTATGACAAAAATCATCAGGAACACAGCAGAGAATATGACAAGTTTGTTTTGGCTTTCGCTACTGCCACAAACCGAAAAGTACGAGGCGCCGAAAACATTTTGGCCGGCAAGCAAGTACAGCGCAATTACCAGACAAGCGACACTAACCAAAATTGTCCTACTAACGGGCCACTCTTTGGTGGCCACAAGCATGGTTAGAAGGCACAAAGAAACTGTTGTCTGTCCATTGTGTCGTAATGCCATTGAAACTCTGGAACACATGCTCTTTGAATGTGACAAACTGAAAGACGATAGAGTAGCTGCTCAAAAAATATACAAAACTATCTTGAACAGAACGCTACCAGCAGCAGAACTTATCATCATCGCCGATAAGCCACAAAGCTTGATCATCCATTATATCTACCAAGCTCGTGTGCGCAAGGAACTCACTGAGAATATAACCAAGAAGAGTAACTGTTAAAGAGTCCTCCCAACTATGATGTCCTGAAAATTTATATCATCCAGACAGCTAACATAATTGGAAGACGATCAGAAATGATCCTGCATCTACTAGATGGAGTCGACGAAATAAGTCTAAGTCTACTACTAAACACTAGCAATCCGCGAGGCCAACATGAGAAAACTCCCCATCCAACATCCCCCTCCCCCTACAACCCACATTTTCAAACATAGTTCGGCCTGTAACACGCAAAGCTACCGCCACCCATCCAGATACGTTTGCCCACAAACACAATTCACCTTGTAGCACCGCCCCCGTCCGTACCTGTTTGAGCATGTCCGGGCTGACCGGCACGTTGTACACACTGCTCCTGATCAGTCTCGGCGAGGCGTTACCCTGGTCCAGTACGGTGAACTGTGTGGTAGTCAGCGGAGGCACCTGACCCTTCAGGTTGGTCACAAACTGACCCGAGCGGTTGGCCTGATCGTCAGCCATTACCTGGATCTGTGGGGTCGGGGTACGAGTGTGAGTTAGTGGGGATTAGGGCGAGTCGAGATATACTCGTACTTCCTAGTCTCGTCCCTAAGTCCTCGCCACCGAGCTGAGTTGGTCATTAATCACCCTTGATGAAAGGTCTTTTTGTCCAAAAACGATTCATGTAGAGCTACAAAGTCAAGGTACATTTGCTAGGAGTCAAGGACTCAAGGTGAGTCGAAGGTTACCAGTACGAGACATACTTTCCTCGAGCAAGGTCATCGTCTCATAATCATTGATGAAAGGATTCTGCGCCCAAAAATACCTCACCTACCAGCGCTCCAAATAAAGATTGCACTCCCAGAGAAATAGCTCATCTAGCCTTAGGTCTCAAAATAACCTTACTTTGGCAGTTCTCTAAAACCCGAATTCTCGAGGACCCCAACAAAGTTCTGTAGTCACCAGGCCGGTAAGACAACGTAGGAACTTTTCCGGTTATCACATGATCCCATATCCCCAAGCAAATATCACATGGACGCGGTATTTCCTACCGACTCACCGGAGAGGGCATTTGATCGGGGTCCAGTTTCCTCGGTCCGGCCATCTGACCTCCGGGCGCCATTCCGGGCGCCATTCCGGGCTGAGGATGACCCATTCCGGGCCTTGGTGGGTATCCGGCGCCCGGCATCGGAGGACCTCCGGGCATTGGAGGGCCGCCAGCCATTGGAGGTCCACCCTGCATCGGAGGGCCTCCAGGCATCGGAGGACCTCCCGGCATCGGAGGAGCGCCTCCATACGGCGAAGCGCTGGAAGTCGGCGGCGGAGCCATTCCCGGCATCGGGGAATGAGGAGGCATTCCACCCATTGACGATGGAGGCATTCCGGGCATAGGAGGCATTCCTGGCATCGGGGAATGCGGCATTCCGGACATGGTCGAAGGCGGCATTCCCGGAACTGAAGACGGAGGCATTCCTGGCATCGGGGAATGGGGCATTCCGGGCACCGAAGAGGGCGGCATCCCCGGCGCTGACGAAGGCGGCATTCCGGGCATTGGCGAATGGTGCATTCCGGGTCCTGTTGGCGCCATTCCTGGTGCCGAAGAAGGCGGCATCCCCGGCATTGGAGAGTGTGGCGCTCCGGGCGTCATAGGAGGCCTCATTCCGGGACCTCCCATATTCGGCGGCATTGGTCCCGGGGCGGCTGACGCCGGTACCCCCGGCTGACCGGGCAGCGGCGGTCGGGTGGGCGGCTGTGGGGACGCGCCCGGGCCGACCGGGGCGCGAGGTGTGCCGCCCGGCAGGCTGGCGGTGGGGTACCGCTGCTGGAGGCTGGGGCCGCCCGGCGACGGAGCGCCGTTAGACTGAGGGCTGAAACATATCAGGGAGGGGGGGTAAGAAAATGCATAACAGTGGGTGCAAAAAAAAATCGTAGGTAGGTAAGTAAAAATTTATTAACATTGAACAGCTTTCAGATAGTGCTAGATTGAACAGATGACATCTCTCATAATGATACTAAGAAGATCAAGATCAAACATCGAGATCAAACATGGCTATAATTGGTTCGGGGTTATCCCATAGAAAATTCTAGCTCCAATCTAGTCTGATGTCTCTCTACGGTTAATAGCGGCCTCACACTGATTGGTACAAAGGGGCTGAGCATCTGTAGGAGCATCTGTAGATCTGTAGGCCTAAGAAGAAGCCCTAAAAGTGCTCTTTTTTAAATAAACGATGCACCTGGCTCTGCTATGCAGACAATTTGCGCGATACCAGAAAGACGCAGAAAGACAGAAAGACGCATCTCCATAAGTATTTGCATATTGCACTCATAGAAGTCTGTTCATAACACAGGAATATGTAATATACCCAAATATAAGGCACTCACCCGGCTCCTGGCGCCGGCGGCATCGGTGACGAGTGGAGCCCGTTGTGGGCCGCGCCCGGGGGGCCGGGGGGCCGCGGCGGGCCCAGCGGCGTGCGGGGCCCACCGGGTGGGCCCGGGGGACCCTGCGGCGACTTGAGACCGGCGCCCGCCGACGCTGACATCTGGTGGCGCAGAGAGGAACTAGTGAGCGGGGCCGTTACATGAATTGGGTGACTGGAGAGAAATCAAAGCATATTCGAGCAGTTATCATACATGCGGGAGTACTGCAGTGCACAACGGTCCAGGTGGAAATGACACACCAACAAGACAACTGATTAACACTATTGCTGAGTTTTAATTACTCTGCTCTGTTCATCTCTTTCCTTTTTTATGGATCCTTTTATCTACATGCATTGGTCAGCCACCGTAATATATTACAGCAGCCAATAGAGAAAATTTTCCGACAGAAACATCTTGCTAGCATGGTTTGGTCTGCAGAAAACCCCAACCCTTGACCCTCAGGAACCCAAAAAACATCCAAATTATACTACGCTTGCAGCTACTTAGCCGGCAGCCGCTGTTTCTTACCAGCGGTGATCCAATGTATACTACGATGTATGTATACTAATCAAATTATACTACGCTCGCAGCTACTTAGCCGGCAGCCGCTGTTTCTTACCAGCGGAGATCCGATGTTCATGGCGGCGACGCCGGCAGTCAGGCCCCCGGGGGGTCCTCCCGGTCCTCCGGGGAGGCCTCCCGGCGGTCCTCCCGGCATCGGAGGACGTGGTGGCCCCGGTGGCCGCATACCGCCTGTGAAACCGGGCATAGGTATGTCTTATGTTTGACAGTAATGGATGCTGTTCAGGGCATATTGTCCTATAGTAGCACCTAAATGACATTTTAGTGGAAACGAGAAGAGGGGAAATGTTGGGCAAGCTGACTTGAATTTCTGCAGTTACTTGTACTTGAGTGATCTGATTTTGTATACTATAACTACTATACTGATTTTGTATATAATTTTTTTTATAAGCAAGCACAGCATGGCTACGTATACAGAGCAGATGACACTATTGAAAGGAAATTATCACCAGAAATTATCACTAGTTCGTTCACACCAAAGAATCTTTTGCTCCATCCCTACAAGTCATACAAGGTTCTGGTCCCATATCTCACCAGGCGTTTGTGGGTATCCCTGCGGCGGACCGTAGCCGGGCTGTGGAGGCATGTACCTCTGTGGCTGGGGCTGCATCTCTCCCAGTTACCTGTCAATGGAGAGCCAGATGAGACGTGCTGATAAATCAGGAGTTTATGCAAGGGTTTACATGGAGTTTGTGGAATGATAACAAACAAGGAATTAGATCATTGGTTAGGATGGGTGTGTTTGTGCATCGAGGAAGGTTAAGTTGGTCATGTGGAAAATTTGTTAACAAAAAGATCCACACACAGTTCTTGCTTAACTCGCGTCCCGTAGAGGGGGCGAAACGCCCCCCCCCCCCCCTGTCCTTTTCCGTCGATATCTCCTGAATGGCTGCAGATATCGCACCAAACTTTCAGGACCCCTCCGGGCATCAATTTTACACATTGTGACCAAACAATTTCCAGAGGTTATGATAGGTTGGCCACAAATGACGTCATAATGACGTCATGTCATGTCCTGCCATTTTCGACAGAAAAAGAGCTTCGCAAGAAGAGCTGTCAGACCTACAGCTTTGAAGATACAGAAAAATGATCAAGACATAAAAGGTGTAAAATTGACAGGGCTACAAAACTGCTATCTGGGATTTTTGATAGCAGACATACACGGTCCAGGCATACACACCTGTATTGATGAATTGGAGTGTGTATGCTTCACAAGAGCCTCCACTCAAAGCTTGCTAATGAGATGATGCAAAATGTATGGAAGGATGTTGTTAAGTGGTCTGACTACTGCACTATTGTCAGCACATTACTCACTGGGATCGAATGTATGACAGGTCGCTAGAGTGGACATTGCCACAAATTCCAGCATTTTCATAGTGACTTACGGCTTACATATACAGTTCATGTATATGGGCAGGGGGGAGGTTCAGGCAGACCTCCTCCCAGCCATTATACCCCTGATGGAGGAGGGTCGTTGCAGAAAGAAACGAGTGTTTTGTTTGTGATGAGAGAAAGGTACCTCATTTAAGGTCTTACATATTTGAAACCCTTGATCATTGGCTGACTATCCCATTCAGGTCAATGACCTCATTTCAGGAAAATCAGGGCTAGCTAATGCTTCTTGAATTCAGTTTTCTCAGAGATATTTTGGGGCCCTGATTCTAAATTTTATGCTAGTTTTGTTTGATAATGAGGTATCTCTGCATTTAGGGTAGGTCAGGTCAGTTAAGAGCAACCACCATTTGTCCCACCAGTTGCTTGTGGTTATTATTTACCATTGATGTCTCTGCCACAGGTAAGGCAATAGGTAGGCTCTAAAAAAGTTCCTTTAGGCTCACATAGATCTTCTTTCATTAACCCGGCAGTTGCTGGGGTATTTCGCCACCCACCGTTTGCTGGGGGGGGGGGGGCGTTAAACGCCCCCAGCCGATAACTCGAGAACCAATAGGCGCAGCGAAACGCACGAGGCGGCAAACGAAAGAGCGCGACGAGACGCTTCAGATGAGTACTTTAAAGTTGAATTTTGAGGTCACAGGTCGGGTCAAGGTCAGGTCAAACACCTGAAATCGGGCTTTCAGTAGCATGGACTTCAGGACTTCGCAATGGGCGCCTCTCGTCATAAACTCTGTCCAAATGGTGCACAATCCATCATATAAGGCCTACAAGAGTGTCAGCTCCATGTCGGGGTCGGTCAAGCATAGGTCAGGGTCAAGGTCAGGTCAACCGGGTAGGCACATATCCCCGAAAATCAAAACTGATATTCGCAGCCTATGACACATGTTTTATAGGTAATTTGGGGCGTAGAACACGATGGTGACATTCATTTTATCATATGTGTACGTGTTTGGCTCAAAAAGTTCAATTTAAGAAATGCATGTATCATGGTCGTGAAGTAGTCACGAAAAATTGCCAAGATTCAGTTCAAGATTATGGAAAATGCGGAATGATAATCAATAATCGAAGATAGCCATTTTATTGATCATGGTATTGGCAGTCTAATGGCGTTTACGGCATGTCTGTATGTCTATTCTGTGATTTTATATGATTTTTTGAACATATGCCGTTTTTGGTCGAAAACTCAGAAATCATGACGTCACTAAAACCTCGATATCTCAAAAATTTTCCAACCTATTTTTTTGAAACTTTGTCACAATAAACTTCAATCAATTCCCTACAGGTACCAAAAATTTGGCGCGCCTGCGGCGCGCCGTTTTTATGCTATGGCCCGGCGAAAAAAGTGGGGGCGTTTAACGCCCCCCCCCCCCCAGCAACTCGCGGGTTAAAGGCTCCAAAAGATACCCTGCCCTGACTACCCTTCCCCAACTTTTCTGGTTTAAAAAAATCAACTGAGGTCATCAACTAAGTCTATCAGTCTACCCCACCTCCCCCCCCCCCCCCCTATAAGAGGATAAGTAATCAATGAGAAACTTTGTTGACCGAGTTTCAGTTGAAATACATCTCTTGCTAAGAGCTCTTCAATGCCACTGAGCACATTTCATTACAAAGCTCAGTTTTGCTGCACTTGTGCTGGGCGTGTAAGCTTTGACTGCGAACAACATATGCCAGGAATGCAATTACAGACACAGACTTACATCCCTTCTTGCCGAGCATGCACTCCCATAAAGCTAGGCACACCATGGGTGTGCAAACTGCAAAGCAAATGCCACTCACTCTTTGCAATCTGAACAAGGTACCAGTGCTTATTTTACAACACATCACATGACATGGAAAAATTCATGAAAAAACATGGAAAAATTTCCATGACATGGAAAAATTTGGCAGTCAATGAAATCCCAGAAAAAGGCAGAAATACTGAACATTCAATTATGTCAGCACACAACACACACACAATTCATTCAAGCAGTCTTGGCATGCGTACACATTTTAGGAAAATTATAGACTGTCTGGATGGCACATTTTTTTTATTTTTTTATAAATTTAGTCCGAACCTTTTGATGGGAAGGATTCACAAGGACAGAGCCACCGCTAAGCGAAGCTTGTTGCGGTGACCCTGCCCTCTACCCTCCGATCGCGCAATTCCAGTTCTATGGCAGAATTTAGAGTCCAAAAATTTAGAGTAGAATTTAGAGTCCGGCCGCGCGCACAAAGCCGCGCACGGCCGGTCCCCTCACTGACTTCACCTGGCTACGGCCTGCCACCAACCGCAACCATACCTGTCAGGAGGCCCATAAATGTCAAGCGCCCGTCGCGCTTCGAACCCGGACTGTTGTAACCGGGAACGCGTGCTCTCACCACGCGGAGTCCAACGCTCTACCAACTGACCTACGGGACCGGCCTTCCGGACCGGACATTGATACTTACTTACTTACTTACTTACGATGTACGAGAATTTTGAAGGCCCTTAGGCCTGTGGGACTCTGACTTATCGAGCTCCGAGACGATGTCACTGCATCAGTCGTTGGAGTGGATGGTATAGAGGAGGTGGGCCCAGTGGCGGTCGAGCCTGGACTTGAATTCATTCAAGGATCTCGCTTCAACTACGTGAGCAGGGAGGCCATTCCAGTCATTGACGACCCGGACGCTGTACGCGTTTCGCCTCGATCGGGAAGACGCTCTAGGCTTCAATAGCTTCCAGGAGTGCCCTCTCGTAGTAGAATCAGCCAACTCAAAAAACGACCCAGGATCGAGGTCGACACCGCCGTGAAAAAGCTGGTAGGTCATAATCATGTCGCCACGACGCCTTCGGTAGTAGAGAGATGGGAGTTTCAGCGAGCGTAGTCGTTGGTCGTACGGTAGGCTCCTCAGAGACGGAATCATCTTTGTTGCTCGTCTTTGGACACGTTCCACCTTTTGCTGGTCAGCGCGATTGAAAGGGCCCCATGCTATATTGCAATACTCGAGGTGCGGTCGTACCAGGGTCTTGTACAGAAGAGGTAGTGTGATGGCATCGATGCATTCGAAGGACTTGTGAATCACCGCGAGCATCTGGGAGGCTCTGGACACCGCTGCAGCGGCTTGTTCACGAAACTTGAGGTCCCGATCGATCTGGACGCCTAGGTCACGCTCGACTTCAACTTCAGCAAGCTGGCAGTCTCCAATGACATATGATTGATGTGGAATGCGCTTACCGACGTGTATAAGCTTGCACTTTTGGGAGTTGAAACTGAGGCACCACTTGCTGGACCAGTCGACTGCCGTGGAGATGTCCGCCTGGAGTAGAGCCGCATCCGAGGGGTTCTGAACAGGACGGTAAATCTTTGTGTCGTCCGCGAACATCTGTATCCCGCCGTGTATCAGGCCTGGAAGATCATTGACGAACAGGACAAACAGAAGGGGTCCCAGGACCGAGCCCTGGGGAACGCCGCTACTGACTGTGGCCCAGTCAGAGTGTGATCCGTTCAGAACAACTCTTTGCTTTCTATTACGCAGGAAACTTGATATCCATCTGACAAGATGTTCTCCGATCCCATATGCCCTGAGTTTGTGTAAGAGTTGCTGATGGGGCACAGTGTCAAATGCCTTAGAAAAGTCCAGATAGATAGCGTCCACGGTCTCGCCTCTCTCAATCGCCCTGCTCCAGTCCTCCAGAGTAGCTAACAGCTGAGTTGCACAAGAGCGTTTCAGACGAAAACCATGCTGAGCGTTGTGGAGCTGGCCAGTAGAGACCAAGTGGTTCATGATGAGGTCCCGAATGATGGACTCCAGAACCTTACATGGAACAGCAGTCAAGCTGACAGGCCTATAGTTTGTCGGCAGCTGTTTGTTCCCCTTCTTGTATATCGGGACAACTTGGCCCAGCTTCCACTCGTACGGAACCTCACCCGATGCCAAGGACACGTTGTATAGCCGTGCCAAAGATGGGCCAATAGACTCGGCAGTCTCAGAGAGGACTTGTGGATGAATGCCGTCCGGGCCTGGAGAGCTGGAGGGCTTGAGACCCTGGAGCTTGTTGATGACCGTCTCAGGGGTGATTGTAACAGGCTCGAGTTCAGGACCAGAGTACCTCACATGGAATGGAGGAATAGTCGAGTCTTCGGCAGAGAAAACGCTGGAAAAGTATTCGTTCAGAACAGCGGCTTTGTCACTGTCGTCGATGGCAAGGGAGCCGTCGGCATGCAGTAGGTGCTCAACCTTGGACCTCGTCTTGGATCGAGAGTGGACATATCTCCAAAAGTGTTTGGGGTTCATCTTTATGTCCCGTGCCAGTCTCGTTTCATAGTCATGTCTCAAGTTTCTGGTCATCCTTCTGAGGTCGTTTCTGATTCTGACAAACCGGGCATGATCAATGGGGTCCTTGGTATGCAGATATTGTAACCACGTGGATCTTTTCTTCTTCTTCAGTTTGAGTGCTTCCTTGGTCATGTATATGTTTTTCTTCACTGTTCTCTGTGAGATACCAGGGACACACTTGCTGGTGAGGTCCATAAGCAGACTCTTCCAGTGACAGTACTGCTCTTCAAGTGGCATGTCCTGTCCTCTGTCCCAGTTGGCACTTCTTATTGATGACATCAGAAACATTTTACTGACAAAAATGCTGATAACTGTCTCTCTTATAGACTTAAAACAAAATATGGGGGAAAATATGACTAGAAACACTGTGATTGCAACAGAAAAGAAAATACCCATATGGATCAAGGGCAAGTTTCAGTGCGCCATAAACGAAACGAGGATGCCGACTTTAATTTCCGACACAACAAAGCGCTAAATCACGGTAAGAACCACATGAAAGATAGCCTTAAAATGATACATACCTTAAGCTACGCCAGATATACCTAAGAACAGCTGATTCAGATATAGCAATGAAATAACTCATGCAGCCAACCAAACAACATCACACCGAAACCCCACAATCAACAGCTGAGTTGTATTCTGCCACGTAAAGTTGCAATGCGCATGCGCAGACTATCGATAATGAGAAGCTGAACAATATATTTTTGGTTTTTGCGTTTATTTTTCTTTAAGTTGGTCCTGAGTGTTGTAAAATAAGGTTTTAAATTATCAAATTTACAAAAATTTGCTGACTTATCAAGATTATGAAAAAAGATCTGACGTTAGTATCAATTAAGAATATGCTGCTAAATTTTGTTTGCAGTTGAAACCTAACAATTGCCATAAACTTGCAAGGGATGAGCCTACTAACGAGCCTATTAATTGATTATCCCGTAATCACTTGTATTTAAGACCTATCTCATTTATTCAGAATTCAGATAGATACCTGTAATTCCGAGCAATTGTATCTAGCGGGAAGCAGAAAACTGCAGCAAAATGCCGTAGGTAACTTGGCATTCGTTATAATCTATAAACGGTCATAACTCATATCTACGATTACTGAATTGTGGAGCGCCCAGCAGTGGCGGATCCAGGGGGGCAAAATGGGCATTTGCCCCCCCCCCCCAAACGGCATAATTTTAACATTACGCCTATGGACGATGCATGGAAAGAATCGATAAATTGTTTTGGTTTGCCCCCCCCCCCAAAAAAAAAAAACTCTGAGCTGTATCCACCTCTGGCGCCCAGAATAGGTAAACGGTGATGAAATGCGAGTCTCGGAACACTGATGAATACATTCAATCGAATACATTCAATCAGTCTGTCCCGTAGCTCAGTGTCTGTCCCGTAGCTCAGTTGGTAGAACATCGGACTCCCGGTAGTGAGAGCCCGGGTTTGAGACGCTCCGGCGCTCGATATTTGAGACTCCTGACGGGGATGGTCTGCGGATGGTGGGAGCTGCCGCAGCCAGTTGAAGTCAGTTGAGTGGGACAGGCCGTGTCCGGCTTTGAAGGGCACGTTAAACTTTGGCATCTAAATTCTCCCGACTCCCGTTACCCGGAATTGCGCGATCGCAGTGGCGGTCGCAGGGGGGGCCATCAGGGCCATGGCCCCCCCCAAAGGCAAATCAGGGGGGGCCATCATATCATTTGGCCCCCCCCCAAACAACCGATGGGCCCCCATGGCCGTATGGGGCCCTGGCCCGTATTCGATTGTCACGAGGCTCGAGAAACCCACGCCAGCTATTAGCAGCTCCCATACCAGTCTTTGAGGGTCCTACACTGACCTCTGAGGGCCCTTCAGTGGCGGTCAAGCGTCCACATTGACCGCTGAGGACCCGTAGTGACCTCTGAGGGCCCTCCACTGGCCTTTGAGGGCCCCTAAACCGGCCTCAGGGGCCCAACCGGCGTCTGAGAGCCTCACACCGGCCTCTGGTGGCCTCATTTCTGTCTCTCGAGTCCCAAGACTAGCCTTTAAGTGTCTCTGAGGGCCCCGCACTGGATTCTGAAGACCAGATGTCGAGCCAGCATCGGCCTCTGGGGGCCCATCTTGGCCTTTGAGGGCCCTCCGCTGGTCTCTGGGGTCCAACGCCAGCCCATGCCGGCCTTTTAGGGCCCCACACTGACCTCTAAGGGCCCATGCTGGACTGTAAGGACCCACATTAGCCTCTGAGGGCCCCCGCACTGGATTCTGATGACCCAATGCCGGCCGCTCAGGGCCCGCATCGGCGTCTGAGGGCCCATCTTGGCCTTTGAGGGCCCTCCGCTGGCCTCTGGGGTCCAACGCCGGCCCATGCCGGTCTCTTAGGGCCCCACACTGACCTCTGAAGGCCCATGCTGACCTGTAAGGATACACATTAGCCTCTATGGGCCCCACACTGGATTCTGAAGACCCGATGCCGGCCTCTAAGGGTCCGCATCGGCCTCTGAAGGCCCATCTTGGCCTTTGAGGGCCCTCTGCTGGCCTCTGGGGTCCAACGCCGGCCAATGCCAGTCTTTTAGGGTCCCATTCTGATCTTTGAGGGCCTCATGCTGGCCTGTAAGGGCCCATATTAGCCTCCGAGAGCCCCCCGCACTGGATTCTGAAGACCCAATGCCGGCCTTTTAGGGTCAGCATCGGCTTCTGCGGGTCCATCTTGGCCTTTGAGGGCCTTCTGTTGGCCTCTGGGGTCCAACGCCGGCCCATACCGTTTTTTTAGGGCCCCACACTGACCTCTGAGGGCCCGTGCTGGCCTGTAAGGACCCACCTTAGCCTCTGAGGGCCCCGCACGGGCTTCTGAAGACCTGATGCCGGCCTCTAAGGGCCCGCATCGGCCTAGTCTGAGGGCCCATCTTGGCCTTTGAGGACCCTCTTCTGGCCTCTAGGGTCCAACGCCGGCCCATGTCGGTCTTTTAGGGCCCCACCCTAACCTCTGAGGGTTCCATGCTGGCCTGTAAGGACCCATATTAGCCTCTGAGTGCCCAATTCGGTCTCTGGTGGTCTCAAACTGCCCTTTGCAGGCCCTGTACTGGTCTCTGAGGGCTCTAAACTGGCCCTTAAGAGCCCAAACCAGCCTCTAAAGGTCCCACGACCCACACCGGCCTCTGATGGTCCCATTTCTGTCTCTGGGACCGAAACTGCTCTTATGTGCCTCTGAGGGCCCCGTACTGGCTTCTGAAGGATCGATGCCGGCTTCTGAGGACCCATGCCGGTCTTTAAGTGCCTCATAGCGACACCTGAGGCCCCACACTAGCCTCTGAGGGGCCCGCAAACTGGCCTATGAGGTCTCTACACCGGCCACTGATGGCCCTATTATGTTCTCTGGGGGGCTCAAGCCTTACCTTTGGGCGTCACGCACTTGCTTATGAAGGCCCACATCAGCCTCTGGGGCCCTACCTGGGGCCTTTGAGGCCCTTCGCTGACCTTTAGGTCCAACGCCGGCCTCTGGGGGTCTGACACCGTACTCTAAGGGCCCCATTGCAGCCTCTAGGCGATAGGTATCGCCGAAGCGCTATCGATGGGCCCATAAGTGTAGGAGCCATGGGTGCAGTGGGCGCAGTTGAACCAACAATAATTCTGCATAGGGTGCAGACAATGTATTCTGCATCCACAATAATCTGGAACAAAGCCCCTTTTCTCAGCAACACTACTTTCCATGCAGCACGACAAATTTGAGATATCTTGCCCACTATCCGTCTTTCGAAGCATTTGCTACTGTAATGGTCTTCATAATTTGCATTTGTGCTCAAGTAAAAAAAAAAAAGATTAAACGGAAGTCGGAACACATGTGATTGAACAGTGAACAGATACCGATGACCCACTGTTCAAAGTTTTAGCATGATGATCTTAAAAAATGGCAAAGTTTTTTTTTGCAAAGAAAATGGCAAAGTTAGCCGCCTTTACTTTTGCGGTAGTCCATTCACAGTTGCGTGAATTATTAACATAATCAATGCTTCAAAATGCACTTTTCGGTACCTTTTCCACATGGTGCACCCTCAAAGCTCTCAATGAGCCTCCGCTCGGGTGCCGCTCCCTACCCCCCCCCCCCCCCGCTTCACCGGCCATGGCCTAGATTTCTGCACCCGTGCACTACGCCCGTGGGCCCCTTTAAGCTAGCACCGGGCCCCCCGGGTCAGCGCAGGGGCCCCTTTGCCAAGTTGGCCCCCCCCAAACTCCAAGTCTGCGACCGCCCCTGCGCGATCGGACGGTAGGGTCGGGGTCTACGCAACAAGCTCTGCTTAGCGTGAGCTCCGACTCTGTCAATCCGTCCATTCAAACATTCGAACTAAATTCATAAAAAAGATATCACGGGTGTCTGTTAGATAAACCAGCATCAAAACAGTCGGTTTTGGTACGTGCAACGCTATATCATACTTAGGCATGACGACTGACCTGGCTAGAAAACCTCATCTGACATTACCGTTATCAATTGAAAGAAACTTAAGCTCAAGATAGAATAAACACTTTGTTTTGTTTTGTTGGGTTAGGCCCTTTCGGTCGACAAGACCATTGCAGAGCCGGAAGGATGATAGGAATTAGGGGGAGACATTGGTCTGGGCAGGCACCCTAGTGAGTCGCCGGGGCTGAGCCCGTCCAGAGGACGGGCCACCCAGCCCCAAGGCACTCACTGCACCCGGCTACGGGGTGCGCTCCCTCGGGAGCAGCCCGCATGAGATAAAGTTGCCTGTCCAGCCCGGAAGGGGGTGGCGGTGTGGAGGAGAAGGATTTCAGTATCCTGAGGATAGAAGCATGGAACGGTGTGAATAAACACTGGAACCAGGCTCTCGACACTGATCGAAATGATGACGGTCTTGCTCCCACCACTCGATCGCCCCCCGGGCAAGTCGGTATTCAGTCGCCGACTACAGCGTCATCTATATAGTCAAGTCTCTTTACCTGGCCACGAGAGGCGCTATAGTTCGTTTTTTTTTAGTTTGACCCTCTACTGAGAAAACTGGTTGGCGCACATTGATTTCACAGACGATTAATTTTATTCAAAATTATTTCTTTCTGGCTCTTATATCCCAGACTCCTAGCTTGTATTTGCCTATATATACAATCCCACAGGGAAAGACGACTAATCAGAAATTATAATTGAATTAATCAATGAATCGCACGGCGTGAACGGTATACGGTACCTATAGCATCGGTGTTAAAAACTTATTTGGAAAATATTTATATCACTAGTACAATATGCACAAACCAGTTTTCTAAGTAATTTAGCTAGCAATTCTCCTGCTGTGTTAAAAAAGAATTAAGACGTTTACAGGGAGGGTCAAACTAAAAAAAAACGAACTATAACAGTAGCCGGGTGGCATAGCCTGTGCTGCCTTTCTCGGTGAAGAGACAAAATCGTTCTCGTGGTTGCATAGACATAGATAGATGTCGGGATAATTTTTAACCCTCGCCCACACATGGGGGGGTGGTTGCCACCCCCCCCCCCCCCAGGCAGTCTTTCTGCTCTGCACTCAACATTTTTAGAGCTAGAAGGCTGATTTTTCGTATAGCTGCTCGTCTATCCTTTCTTGATGTCCACTGAAATTTTCAAGTTTCTGTAATTTTTGGTTTCGGAGATATGACCTTGTTTTTCAGGTCATGTCATGACCCAAATGGCCAATTCTCAACATCTTGCGTTTGCCATGGGCCTTGTGAGCTTTTGACACCCTGATTTCGGCCTTTTTTGCCAGTCTTACCTCCCACCTATCATGGAACATGTTGTTCGACGATGTACAGGGGTCAAGGTCAGGGTCAAGGTCAACCTAGGTCATCTAAGATAATTGCGTTTTAGGCAAGCTGAATTTACTTTTTGTGAAGTTTTTTGACTGCATTTTTGGTAAAAGCTTCTCAGATCATGAATTCATGTGATATGGACCCAAAAACAATCGGTGCACACATCAGTATACACACAGACACACACAGACATACAAACACATATAATTGACCTTGACCTAACTTGACCTGAAATGACCTCAGCAGCAAAATTCTGGTCGGATAGTGTGACAAAGAGGTTCTAGCTGGCTTGGCACCAGAAAACAGCATCGTCATCGGTATTTGATAAGCAGCGCACTTGATATCCAACGGTGACCCAAAACAGCAACATTTTTTAGTTTGACCTGACCTGGAAGGTCAATGACTGACCTGAGAAGGTAAAACTGGGTATCATTGGATTCGTCTCTTCCCAAAGAATCTTTTTGGTCTTTACTGCTAAGCTCTAACTCCAACAGGAACGAAATGGCGCGGGGGGGGTGGCAACCCCCCCCCCCCCCCCATGTGCGTTCTAGGATGGGAAAATGGCATGTGCGGGCGAGGGTTAAGACAGATGCGTTGAGCGCGGTGATGATTGCTTTGAATGCTCCGGAACGACAACGATAGCCCAAGGCCCCAGAGCTCATTCATATACTAACGGATACCTATAACCTACTTTATTGGCACGTGATTACCGCACGTGGTCGCACGTCGCTGGATGCAACTATGACCTAACCCTGTGATTAATTGTGAAGGATATATTATTTCTAGAGGATAAATGTGAATAGTTTTCGGTAAGCGCTGGATCGAACAGCTGAGCCCTCCCACAATCGTTTCACTTTAACGAAAGCGGGCTTAGGTTCGGGGGTCGCCCATAAAAAGTGTAGCTTCTTTTACTGATGCGCCCTCTTTATTAGTGATGCCAGTTTCAGAAAATGTATGTTTAATATCCGTCCAATGTCGGGCATTTTCGTCGACTGCCCGTCCAAAACCGTCCAAGCCAGCCATTTCTCCAAAGATGTTCGGAAATCACCGTGCGCCCGTGCTAGCACCGTTATTATTAACCCGCCCCGGGCCGGGGGTGTTTGAACACACCCCCCTGCGGTTTTTCGCTGATATCTCAAAAACGGCGGCGCTCCGCGCCGCCGTTTTTGGCACACCTGTTTGTGCATCTTTTCCGCACATATTGTAAAAATGTCAGACCCAGGTCGCCTTAGGTCAGGTCACCAGGTCACGCCAAGTGACCTCACCTCAGAAAAAATAAGAATGCTCGTCATAGCTACACCGATTGATCGATTGCCTTGAAACTTTCAGTGATTAATTAGAGCAGCATTATCTATAAAATGTTTATCTCGGAATTTCGATATCGGTGACCAAAGGTCAGGTCAATTTTGCGGCCTCTCCATTACAAGTCAATGGGAGAAAATTGAAAAGCGTCTGTTTTGCACGAACGCCATTCTAGACACTCTCAAACATCGAGATGTAGGTAAAATTGACACACTGAACCAGAAAATGGCAACTGTGACCCCTCGTTATGTCCCCGAGGTCATCTCAGGTCACGAACAGAATCTAACAGTTTTTCGCTAATAACTTCTGATAGAGGCGTGCTAGAGCGCTGATAACGCCTTAGATGTGTTCGCTCGACGTTGCGGATCGACTGATATGCAACATGACCTTTTCCTGTCAGGTCATGACCTTGACCTGAGGTCAAATTTTCAAGTTGACCTTTCAAGGTCAAATTATAGTTCATTCGACGCGTCGGATCTCGACGAGAGGAACACGATGCTGGCAAAAGCGATGTCATGACTCTTTTTGAGTCAAAAGTTATTGCCGAAAAAACGCTATTCGTAAAAACGGCTATTTTTGGAGTTTTTGCCCTCTGGAGGCTAAACCGTTGACCCTGACCTGAGGTCAAATCTGAGAACATTACTCAGAAAGGTCTGTAAAAGGGCTATCGAATGCGCCTCTCCGCGGCGTTGTAGCTCTATCGGTTCCCGAGATAGCCGTTCGCAGTTTCCAAAATGTTGAAATAGTAAACACTTTACCTTTGGTGACCTCTGGTGACCTGACCTTTGACCTGACCCAAAAATGACAGAAGTGTTTTCGTCCTTATTTTGGACGTTCTTTCGATGGCCGCTTACCGCGTGTCGCTACGTGGCCCAGGAGCCGAGTTAGAAGGGGGTGTGTTCAGACCCCCCCCCCCCCGGCCCGGCGCGGAATCTCAGAGCACCGGCCCGGCGCGGGTTAAAATACTATAATTATTAGAATACTATTATCATTTTAATTATAAATTTCACTAATTATATTTACGATAATTATATATAATTGCATTACACTAGTATTAGGTACGCAGTTTCAATGATCACCGCGGCTGCAACATTCGATAGATAGGTATTTGAATAGGCTCTCGCATGCGATTTCCTGAACGCGGAAACTAAAGAGTCTGTTTCACTTTTCAGCCTTTACGCATGCCTCTTGCGATTTACAAAGGCATAATCACTAATCAGTGCCGTAAAACTATTTCGTAAGCCTCTACGCAACTAAATCTCCCCATTTGAATTGAATGTCATTTTCACTCTAATGATGGGAAATGCGAAAATGACGCTGAAATGTAGACGCTAAAAAGTGAATCGAACGTTGAGACATAGCAACGAACAATGCAAAATTACACTAGCTTTTCGAAACGGTCACTTTGTTTATTTCTCGATGCATACATGATTCAGTATGCACGGCGCACGCACATACCTGCAGCCGCACAAGTCAAAATATTATGATACCACATTGCATGTTGAGTTGGCCGTTGTGTCCTATTATAGCATTTAATGGTGCATAAACAATAGCGTATCTAAGAAGGACATTAAGTTCTCAATGGCACCAAACAACGCAACCTTTCATTGCACACTTAGATCGTAAACAACATTATCTATAACAGTAACAACAGCAATAACAATAACAAAAGATTGCTGTAAGAGTTGGTAACAATAAATTAGATGTCGCCGTTAAGAAACGTAATATCAAGCAGTGTACGTTTTTTTTTTTTGTTAAATAAAACCATAACAAAAAGAAGAACCTTGAGACACACTCACATACCTAGATATTTACATTCATCTACCAATTGTAAATGTATTAGGTATCACGTCATGCTTACGAATAGCCTAATACCTAGATGCCTACTTAGGTTCCTTCCATACACGGGTACTCATCCAAGCGGGCCAGTAAAATAAAAAAAAATCATTTTCATTTACAGCTTATTCTCAAACAGCGGACGGTAGCAAGCATTGGCGGATGACGCGATCTACATAGTGGGTATGATGGTGCTTTGTCGAATGCCGCAAGAGGCCAACAAAAATAGTGCACCTACCTAATGAAATTAAATGTCTAGATGGAGTCCTGGGGCACAAGCACGCCCCGAGCCAGCATTGGAGTTAAATAACACTTTTGGAGAGCCCCCTTCCTCCTCCCCACTCACACAGACACACTTAAAAGTCAAAAGTATCCAAAACCACCTTTCTGAAGTCAAAACGTGGTCATGATCACTATGTGTAGCTCGTTTTCGTGAAAAGCCTCACATGTTCTACGTCATTTCCATAGTCGTCACTCACTATTTTCACTTCTAGTTTATGACCATCTGGTCTACCGTCACCATACAGGGAGGGGTGTTTACTCAGCAGGCTGCCCCAGTCTCCCTCGTCAGCTGATTGCTCTCTGGTGACGTCACTGGGGTCACTGCGTCTATGGCCGTGAGACAGAAACGGCGGGATTGGTGGTCTGTGAAAGGGAGGGTGAGGCTGGGCGCTTCCGTGGAATGGTGGACGATTTCCGTGGAATGGTGGACCCGATGGACCATTTCCGTGGAATGGTGGGCCATTTCCGTGGAATGGCGGACCATTTCCGTGAAATGGTGGAAATGGAGCGTCTTGTCTGCCATAGCCATGTGGTGGAGGACCATACCCCTTTTGTGGAGGGCCATATCCCTTTTGTGGAGGACCATATCCCTTTTGTGGGGGCCCATAAGAGGATTTCGGAGGATCATATCCCTTCTGAGGAGGACCATATCCTTTTTGAGGAGGACCATAAGAAGATTTAGGAGGACCATAAGAAGCTTTGGGAGGATCATATCCTTTTTGTGGAGGACCGTATCCTTTTGGAGGAGGACCATACCCCTTCTGAGGAGGACCGTATCCTTTTTGCGGAGGACCATATCCCTTTTGAGGAGGACCATAAGAAGATTTAGGAGGGCCATAAGAAGCTTTGGGAGGATCATATCCTTTTTGTGGAGGACCATACCCCATCTGAGGAGGACCGTAAGAAGATTTAGGAGGGCCATATGACGATTTAGGAGAATCATATCCTTTCTGGGGCGGGCCGTACGATGACTTTGGAGGGCTATGGCCCTTTTGAGGTGGGCCATACGATGACTTTGGAGGGTCATGCCCCTTTTGCGGCGGACCATACGACGACTTAGGGGGATCGTATCCTTTCTGGGGCGGGCCATACGATGATTTAGGAGGCCCGTACGATGACTTTGGTGGGTCATAACCCTTCTGAGGTGGGCCATACGATGACTTTGGAGGGCTGTGGCCCTTCTGAGGTGGGCCATACGATGACTTTGGAGGGTCATACCCCTTTTGCGGTGGGCCATATGATGATTTTGGAGGTCCGTAAGAGGACTTTGGAGGGTCATATCCCTTTTGCGGCGGTCCATATGACTTTGGAGGGCTATGGTCTTTCTGAGGAGGGCCATAAGATGACTTTGGAGGGTCGTAACCCTTCTGAGGAGGGCCATAAGATGACTTTGGAGGGTCATAACCCTTCTGAGGTGGGCCATACGATGATTTTGGGGGATCATATCCTTTCTGGGGCGGGCCGTACGATGATTTTGGAGGGTCGTACCCTTTCTGAGGTGGGCCATACGATGATTTTGGAGGTCCGTAAGAGGACTTTGGAGGGTCATATCCCTTTTGCGGCGGTCCATATGACTTTGGAGGGCTATGGTCTTTCTGAGGAGGGCCATAAGATGACTTTGGAGGGTCGTAACCCTTCTGAGGAGGGCCATAAGATGACTTTGGAGGGTCATAACCCTTCTGAGGTGGGCCATACGATGATTTTGGAGGTCCGTAAGAGGACTTTGGAGGGTCATACCCCTTTTGCGGTGGTCCATACGATGACTTTGGTGGATTGTATGACGACTTAGAGCTTCCATGGCCCTTTGCTGGTGCCCCGTAGCCCTTTGATGGAGCACTATATCCCTTCTGGGGTTTACTGTAGGATTTCGGTGGTGGATGGCTTTTTCTGGGAGGCGCGTAACTGGCTTCAGGTGGAGTATATCCCGACCCCCCTCAGTCGTGAGGACTGGTGGAAGGTTTGTGACCTCCAGAGGTGGCGAAATGTGGTCTATCGTGTCCCCCGCTGCTGCCTCCTCCATCATGGGACAAACTCGAGTAGCTAGATTCCTCGTTTCCTCCACTGTGGATCCCTGACTCAAAGTGCCCCGTGTCTCTGGGAAAATCGGGCTGGTGCGACTGCGAGAAGCTTCCGAAGTCCTTCGGGGGATTCCCAAAGCCGTTATGTGAACCTCCAAACCCACCAGTGTCTTTGAGACCACCAAGAGATATTTCAAAGTCTTTAGGAGGCTCTTCAAACTCAAATGATGGCTGGTCAGTGTCCTTGGATGGTCTTTTCTGACCAATCGTCTGCTGGTATTCGGCCTCTAGCTGGTCGGGATCAGGAATATCCGGGAGGTAATCTAGATTGTCAAACAAACCCACGAGAGTCGGTCCAGAAGAAGTTGTATCGCGACGGTGCCGCCGGCGAGCGTGAAGCGGCAGAGGCTGGAACTGCCCCCGAGGATGAGGTCGGGGAAACTGTGGAGGATGATGTGGCAGAGGTTGAGGAAGCTGTGGTCCACCTCTGATGTACGGAGGAGGCGGTAGAGGGGTTCTTCCACCACCGGGGCCTTGTGGTGGTATGAACCCACCCAGAGCAGGGCCCGGACGGGGAGCTCCACCAAAGTGCGCTCCCCGGAGAGGAAGTCGCTGCTGTCCTCTGGGATTTCCTAAAACTCCTGTGTTCTGTCGTCGCCGTGATGCCAGACCATTTCGTAAGTGACCTTGTCCAGAAGAGCCACCACGATATTCATACCCACTATGATCGTATTTATGTCCCTCTTCTAACGGACCTGCGTCTACATGCACTCTCTGGTAACTCGGTGGCTCATGAAGAGGAATGTCCTCGTCCTTCAGACTGGCTAGATCTCGAAAAGGATCGTGTTTCCCGAATGACAGCTCTACTTCAGACTGGATATCAGTCATACAGTCAAACCCACAGTCCTGAGAGCCGTCAGCGTGCGCAAAGCCTTCGTCGAAGGATACTGGGCTGCTGGTTGGATTGAAGCTATCACTGCCAAAACTGTTGTGGGTGTTTGGGATGTCAGGGACATATCCACTATCGAGATCACTGCCGAAGCTGCTGTGTTCATCGACATACCCACCATCGTCGAAAGAAATGTCAAGTGTTTCTCCATGTCCTCCGTGTCCATCATGTTCTTCGCTGAACCCGAGGCTATCACGCTCCCCTCCTACATGTCCAAAGCCAGCATTGGGCTCGCTATGTTGAAAGCCACCTCCGTGCCCTGGATCGTGTCCGACGTGATGTCCCACGACATGTCCTCGATCATGTTCATCATGTCCTACGTCATGTCCGAAGCCCCCACTGTCCTGGTGGTGTCCAGGATCGTGACCATCACTGAAGACATGCGTCACGGAGTTGACGTGATCGTGCTCGGGTGGTTTGATCTTCTTGACACGGGTGATTGGAGGGGGATGGATGGAGTATTCACCCGGAGGACGATGCTGGGGCTGTTGTGGATGGTGAGGGGGCGGTGGAGGGTGATGGGGAGGTTGAGAAGGGTGGTTTGGAGGTTGAGAAGGATGGTGATGATGTTGGGAAGGTTGGTGGGGAGGTTGCGAAAGATGAGGAGGTGGTTGAGAAGGATGGTGGGGAGGTTGAGAAGGGTGATGAGGGGGTGGAGGAGGGTGGTGAGGTGGGGACTGCGAAGGATGCTGGGGAGACTGAGAAAGATGAGGAGGAGGTTGAGAAGAATGATGAGGTGGCTGTTGCGGTGGATGTCCTGACTGACGCTGCAAGTGTGGCGGAGGCGCACGAGGTGGGCGATGCTGCTGTGGGCCTCCATGCGGCCCAGACTGTGGATGAGGAGGACCTTCATGCGGCCCAGACTGCAGATGAGGAGGACCAGCGATTCGTGGCGGATGATGCCCATGCTGCTGATGCGGGCCGAAAGAAGCGTGAGGATCTTCGTGACGTATGTCTTCTGCTTTCGGGGGACCGAATTGATGCTTGTCTGTTGGATTGGAGACGATCTCGCGTGACGACTGAGTCTCGCCTCTGATATGACTCCTTGGAGGTGCTGTGTTGAAGTTCGGAGATAGACGTGGCTGTCCGTCTCCAGGCTGGTCGCCAAGATGAGGCAAAATGCGGTGATCATCGTGCTGTGCTGATCCGAATTGCGGATTTCGGTAAGAGCTGGCAGAGTATACTGACGTCTCTGTGTCCTTCTGGATAGAAAAGTGTGAACCCTCGGCTCTTCCTGCGTTGAGGTGGATGCCAGAAGGCGTTGAACTCACGTCAACCACAGGTGGTAGCAAGCTTCTTCGTCTGCGCTGTTGTTGTTCAAAGTTGTCAGAAAGTCGGCCGCTTACGGAAGCGTCTTTTGCCACCTGTGGAGATCCCACCGCCATGATTGTCACTTTTCCTGTGACTGGGTCTTCGACAACAGCTCGCTGCATGAAGTTGATCAGAAGCTGTCTCACTTCCAGCGGAAGCTCGTCGGATTTTGTTAAGTCGCCCCTGAAGTTACTGTCTTTCACGACAGTTTCCTCACGATTCACACCGAGCATTTCGTTCAGAAGCGCAGCGAAACACGTGTCGTCCATGCAAAGGGTCCCTTGATCGGCGGCCATCTTGGCAAAGTTCATCATGCTGTCCGCCATCTTGGATAAGTCACTACTCGGCACGACAGCCATATTGGAGAGCTCATTCACTGGTATTGCTGTATGACTCTCGTGTTGAAGAGGCAGCTGAAATGCCGGTTGTTTTTGAACACCGACTGCTGGCGTCGCGGGCAGACTGCGGGCGGTAGACGAATCCTCAGTGGACGACGATGACGTCACTTTTGACACACTGCGTGAGGTGGATGAAGGCTCGGTGAACAATTGTGACGTCACTGGTGCTTCAACCGTCGTCACTGAGTCGAGTGACGTGATGGAAGTCGTTGGTGTGAGCTCCTCTGTTGTGGAGAGCTCGAGCACCATCAGAAAGACCACTATGGGTAGTGCGGGCATCTGCGAAAGAGAAGAAAAACCGATGTTAGCCACAATGGTTGATTACGTTTGAACTTATAGGGTAAGGATTCGAGCTCTGAAAGTTAAAATTTATCAACATGAATGTTTAAAGCTAAAAAAATGAAGGATTTAGTCGAAAACGTTTCACTGTCGAACGTTTTAGACATGTTCTGCACGTTGCATATGGTGTCATTCGATGCCCATTGTTTTCTCGACGGTTCTTTGGTAACCAACCAGGCATGCAGATTTCATAAACCCAATTTAAAAAATCGAGGGTGTCGTATTTTGCTGTATTTAAAGTTCTGTTTTGAATTGATTATATAAAATACTTTCAAATATTTTAAAAGTCAAACTTATTATTTAACAATGAACCAAACAACTGCATTCCAAACGCCATTGACCGATTTCAAATATCTGATCAATTTTTCGAAAAAAACAGCATTCCAAATGTTGTTAAATAGCACGTAACGTCATAAATTGACGTCACGATTGAAGCCAAACCGTTGACATAAGAGCAACTTCAACCCCATATTCGGAAACTGGGCTATCATGAACCCGTTTCTTCCATATTTCATAAAGATCTGAGGGGGTGTTGTTTAAAACTGCACTTAGGTACAGTTGTTCAGTTGGCATGGAATGACCCTATACCTTCCCAGAGGACAGTGTCGATATTCTATAAACTGGTTAACAGCTTATGGTTGAAGAGGAGTGTACAACTTTCCCAATGTTAAGTAAAGCTGTGTGTAACCAAAAGCATCATCTGTATCCCTTTACGCTTGGATTCTATTTTGCCTTGTATAATTCTACAATGTAGTTAAATGCTGCCTTTTCTGCCTAGTGGTATGGCAGCTGACAACCCAGTCTTGCAGTTAAACGGCGCTCCGTCAGCACTCATAATATGCTGAGCTCTGCTAACTCGTGGTGCGTCACCAACTATGTCACTATTCGTCACGCTGAGCGTTACGGAGCGTCACAGCGTCCGTCACGGCGCGTTACAGTCACCGTTACAGAAGCTCACCATCACCGTCACAGAAACTACCCACCCTCCCGCGTGCAATCATTGCATCACCGCCGTGCGCTACTGCATGGAAAATAGCCGGTAACCGTTTTCACGACGGCTATCTGGCGAATGCACCTAATTTGATTTTGACCAAATCTGTACCAAATCTCTTTTATAGCAAGTGTCTTTAGATTATGAATTGATTTAAGCGTTTTAGTCGATGATAATGTCTGATAGTATGACAAAGAAGGCATATAGGCAATTAGTGCAACTTTAGCTAATAGCTACGAAGAAATACACGGAACCCAATTTGACCAAATCTACACCAAATCTGACCAAAGGTATACCAAATATGTACCAGATGGCCGTCGTGAAAACGGCTAATACCTATCTACAAAATCGGAGCTTCCTGACGTGCTTCTGTGTGTTCTGGTTTGTTGTGTGAACTGTAATCTGGCGTTTCCATCGAGGCATTCTTTTTAGAGAAATCGTTCACGATCGTACCATGATCAAAGGTAAGAGTTTTTCTCTTCATATATTAACTAATAGGTATGCTAGTAAGGGTGAAACGCTTTGCTATCTATGCGGGGATTGACATACAAGCCGAGCTCACAATGTCAATACATATTCCTGGTCAGTTCAGTTGTCTGGATATTTGCACTACCGAGGCTTTCATGGTTGGTTGGTCACGTGCATCACTAGCCAATCACCGCTGTCAGTCACTTCCTGCTTCATCAATCACCACGGAAACGGCCAAGGCCCGAAACGGCACGTTGGGCGAGCGTTGGGTTCAATGAATGGCTCAACTCATGCTTCGTTCAGCTCTGGGTCTATTGAACTCAGACTCTCAACTCACGCGCCCTGTCTCTGAGCACGTTCGTTTTGCCCGTTTACTCGGTATTTCGGGTGTGTCACGTGATCCATGGTTCGCCAGGCTCCATTTGAACGCAGTCATGAGCACAACAATGGGTGTTGTCATCCAGGAACTATTTCACGGGCCATTGAAGTCAGTTGAGCCACGAAAACGCACGATGTGAGATCTCCCTGGCAATGCAAGGGGCGGGATATCTATTATCTATGAGTTCTTCCACCACACGGTTCGGGTATTCTGCTCACTCGAATGCAAGCTTTTGGATGAGAACATGTAAAATCATAGACCTCGGTAAGCGGAGGCCTATGGTAGTTACTTGGTAGAGCATGTAGATCATCAGAGCTCACACTTAACAGGATAGCAGAGTTAGTTCACCTAATGTATACCATCCGCTCTCGAAATGTGCGCTGTGACAATAGCCCTTTTCACGAAGCGTTATCCAGCGATTGCACCAATCTTGTCCAAATTTGCACCTAGTTTCTTTTTCAACAAATACCTTTATATCATGAATTTATTTCCGTGTTTTATTCGAAAATAATGTTAAATAATTTGAAAAATCAGGAATATAAGCAACTGTGCAACCCAAAACTAATAAAATAACTCAAAATGAATGACCTTTTCCTCGAATATAGAAAGTTTAAATGTCGAAAATGATGTATTTATAGTCTGTTCCATATCAAGCTTGCAGTCGGAGTTCCTTCGCAGATCGCTCCTCCGCTCAAGAATTTGCGTCTTATAACACGGTCGTCAAGTTAGATGTAAGTGAATCCTAATCTATAATCTAAGATTCGGAATCAGGTGAGCCCCGATTTGGACCAAACTTGGTCAGTAGATAGTACGTAACGTCCTGATTACGATGCACCCAAAATCTAAGCTCGGCCCGCCATAGGTATTTACGAAGTTACGGATGTTTGAATTTCAAGGTCATTCGGGAGAGCCCCTACGATTTCCGTCAAAATTTGTGTACGGACACTCGAGATGCTCCTCATTACGAATATCACAAAATTTAGCTCGGCCCGCCATATTTACGAAGTTACGGAGGTTTGAATTTCAAGGTCATTTGGGTGAGCCCCTGCGATTTCCGTCAAAATTGGTATACGGACATATTACATCCTCCTCATTACAAATATCATAAAAGTTAAGCTCGGCCCGCCATATTTTTCAAGTTACGGAGTCACAAAGTTACGGAATTTCAAGGTCATTCGGAGAGCCCCTCCGATTTTCGTCAAAATTTGTATGCGGACACATTACATGCTCCTCATTACGAATATCGTAAAAGCTAAGCTCGGCCCGCACTATTTCAAAAGTTAGAGATGTTTGAATTTCAGTGAGTTTCAAACGTCAGTAACTTTTGAAATAGTGCGGGCCGAGCTTAGCTTTTACGATATTCGTAATGAGGAGCATGTAATGTGTCCGCATACAAATTTTGACGAACATCGGAGGGGCTCTCCGAA